GCCCCCCGAGAACCCCCTCAGAGCGCCCCCCGAGAAGCCCCTCAGAGCGCCCCCGAGAACCCCCTCAGAGCACCCCCGAGAACCCCCTCAGAGCGCCCCCGAGAACCCCGTCAGAGCACCCCCGAGAACCCCCTCAGAGTGCCCCCTGAGAACCCCCTCAGAGCGCCCCCGAGAACCCCCTCAGAGTGCCCCCCGAGAACCCCCTCAGAGCGCCCCCTGAGAACCCCCTCAGAGCGCCCCCGAGAACCCCCTCAGAGTGCCCCCCGAGAACCCCCTCAGAGCACCCCCGAGAACCCCCTCAGAGCGCCCCCGAGAACCCCGTCAGAGCACCCCCGAGAACCCCCTCAGAGCGCCCCCTGAGAACCCCCTCAGAGCGCCCCCAAGAACCCCCTCAGAGTGCCCCCCGAGAACCCCCTCAGAGCACCCCCGAGAACCCCCTCAGAGCGCCCCCGAGAACCCCGTCAGAGCACCCCCGAGAACCCCCTCAGAGCGCCCCCTGAGAACCCCCTCAGAGCGCCCCCGAGAACCCCCTCAGAGCGCCCCCCGAGAGCCCCCTCAGAGCGCCCCCCGAGAACCCCCTCAGAGCACCCCCGAGAACCCCCTCGAGCGCCCCCCGAGAACCCCCTCAGAGCGCCCCCCGAGAAGCCCCTCAGAGCGCCCCCGAGAACCCCCTCAGAGTGCCCCCCGAGAACCCCCTCAGATCACCCCCGAGAACCCCCTCAGAGCGCCCCCGAGAACCCCGTCAGAGCGCCCCCTGAGAACCCCCTCAGAGCGCCCCCGAGAACCCCCTCAGAGCGCCCCCGAGAACCCCCTCAGAGTGCCCCCCGAGAACCCCCTCAGAGCGCCCCCTGAGAACCCCCTCAGAGCGCCCCCGAGAACCCCGTCAGAGCACCCCCGAGAACCCCCTCAGAGCGCCCCCTGAGAACCCCCTCAGAGCACCCCCGAGAAGCCCCTCAGAGCGCCCCCGAGAACCCCCTCAGAGTGCCCCCCGAGAACCCCGTCAGAGCACCCCTAAGAACCCCCTCAGAGTGCCCCCCGAGAACCCCCTCAGAGCACCCCCGAGAAGCCCCTCAGAGTGCCCCCCGAGAACCCCCTCAGAGCGCCCCCTGAAGCACTCGGGCCCCGAGGAACCCCTGGGTGCCCCCAGAGGGCCCCGAGTGTCCCCCGACTCCTGTCCTCGGTCTGTCACCACTGTTCCAGGACAGGCCACCCGAGCCGCTGCCGAGGCCCCGTGTGCATGCAGACAGAAGCCGCGTGGGGTGGAGGCCTAGGTGCAGCCACCCCGAGGCCCTGGGGAGCAGCCCCGTCTGGGCAGGGTTCGGGGTGGCATCACGGGCTGTCACTGAAGGGCTGCTGCCAGGCTGTGTTCAGGCTTCCGGCGGCCTGGGCCTGTCACCTCTCCCCAGCGTCGAGGAAAAGCTTGGTCCTCAACGTTCACAGCCCGTCTGCGCGCCCTTCCCTGCTGCTTCCTTCTTGCTTCCCAGAAGTCCTGACACTTGGTTGCCTCACCGGGCCCAGACCCTTCATCTTCTCAACACCAAAGAGGCTTCAGGGAGGCCCCAGTGTGAGCTCTCCTAGTCCCCGAAAGTAGAGAAGGCCACTTGCAGGGTGACAAAGAGCAGCAGACCACAAATTCTGAGCGTCCCCCATCCCGTGCGTCCCCATCCCTTCTCTTGCTCCAGGGAAAGAGAGGAGGGGAGGGGGAAAGGAGTTCACAGGCCCAAGGAATCCCGAGGGAGGAGAGAGCCTGCATCTGACAGACCGAGCACAAAGACCTCTCGAGCCTTCTAACACAAACGTTCTCTTTGAGAATGTGCCTGGTCAAAAAACCTGAGTCTGCAATGTACCTGCAGCTGTTCACTCTCCCGCTCCTGCTCTCCCCCACAAGCCGCCATCACACCCCGCGTCGTGAGCGAGGCAGACGCGGAGGCCTTGCCCAGGCTCAGAGTGCCCCCGCAGCCACCATCCCTTGGGGTTTCTGCAGGGCTGCTCTTTCCTCCCAAAGAACCCAGGGATTCACGGTGGGAAGAGCAGGCGTGGGGAGAGCTACCGGCGGGAAGCCGGGCCTTCAGCATCCTTGCAGTGTGAGTGGAGCCAGCAGGTGAAGGGGTGAAATCCAGGCTCCCCCAGGGAGACCCGCAGCCTCTTCACCTGCACTGTGCGTCCCTGACCTGAGGGTGGGTGTTGGCCCAGGGGTGCCCCCCCGGGGGGCTGGGCCTGGGACTCAGGACCACCCAGCGCATCTCCTGGCAGACAAGTGCAGACAGGAATGTGGGCCGGTCAGGCACACTTGCCCCAAACCCCGCCTCCCGCCACAATGCCCGCATTTGCTCAGTCTTCTTTCTCAGACACAGGCAGTGCCCCAAGCCCAGCTCCATCAGCTTCCGTCCCCTCACTGCTGAGGGTCCGGGGAGCCGTGACCCTGCTGCAGGTCTGGGGGCCTGTGACCCCATGCAGGACAGGGGGGCCATGACTCCAAGCAGGCCTGGGGGGCTGTGACCCTGTCTGGGCCCAGGGGGCCGTGATCCCTCACCTGACCCGCTCACCACTGTGGGTCCAGGGGGCCGTGTCCCCACCTGGGTCTGGGGAGCCATGACCCCACACAGGTCTGGGGGGCCATGACCCCATGCAGGTCTGAGGGGCCGTGACCCCACTGTGGGTCTGGGGGGCTGTGACCTCATGCAGGCCTAGGGGGCCGTGGCCCCGTGTGGGCCCAGGGGTCCATGACCCCTCACCTGACCTGCTCACTGCTGTGGGTCCTGGGGGCCGTGACCCCACGTAGGTCTGGGGAGCCATGACCCGACACAGGTCTGGGGGGCTGTGACCCCATGCAGGCCTGGAGGGCCATGACCCCATGTGGGCCTGGGGGGCTGTGACCCTGCTGCAGGTCTGGGGGCCTGTGACCTCGCTGTGGGTCTGGGGTTCCAGGACCCCGTGGGGGTCTGGGGGGCCGTGACCCCATGCAGGCCCCCTCTGGCCGCGGGATGCAAGGAGCTCCCCCCTGGGTCCCCCTCATCTCTTCGCCTGCTGATTCTGCTGAGTCCTGCAGCATCAAACACCAGCTTTGTCACTTTCTGCACACAGGGCCCTGATGGAATCCCCCGAACACCATGCCCCAGATTCCTGACCTCAGAGGCATTTCCAGTAGAGCCTCAGCATACCCAGTGCCTCATAAATGACACCTCACATCATGGAACCAATTCCTGCTGGTGAGGCCGCGGGACAGCACCCGGGGTACGCAAATGGCCAGGTCCCAGTCAGCTTTCCTGCCAGATCCCCATCACCCTGTGCCCAGCACCCAGAGCAGCAGCGGACGAGCCGCAGGGCCCGTGGGGGCAGCAGGGTCAGTGCGCGCCCACAGGCGTGCAGAGCAGAGCCTCCTGTCAGCCCAGAAGACCCGTGGGCGGTGGGAGATCGCCACTTCCCGGGCCTGGAGCCGGGCAGGCTGCAGCGGCTGGGGGCTCGCTGGTGACTGACCGAGGCTGGGCGAGGGAGCTCTGGAGGGCCTGGGGTCACATGCTCTGGGGCAGTCGGGGCCTGCGGGTGGGTCCAGGGGCAACTTGCTGTCTCTCTCTGTGCCCGCCCAGCAGGCTGGCCCTCCAAGTCCAGGGTCCTCTGGGGTCTACCGCGCCTCCCTCAGCTGCGGAAAAACAAGGCAAGACCAAAATTCCATCACTGAAATACTGGGCAGCCCCTTGTGCGGACGCAGAAGTTCACTGCAGGTCAAGAAGAACCCTGGCCTCTGGATGGGGCAGGGAGCAGGTGGCTGAGGGCCTGGACACCGGAGGACATTCCCAGTCATCAAGGGAGATGAGGACGGCCCAGAGCTCAGACCCGAACCCGGCAGAGGGGAGGTGTTGGAAGGCCACCTCCTCGAGCTCTCTGTGCCAGAGCTCAGCCAGCCCCGGCCACCACGGGCAGCCAGCCAGCCCACGGCATGCATGCCCACCAAGACACCGCGCGGCACGGCCGGGCAGGGGCTCACCCTGGCTGGGGGGCAGCTGCGCCTCTGGGAGGCCTGCACACCCACAGTGTGTGGCCTTCAGTCACGTCGGCCAACCCCCTGCTGTAGATCCCAGGGGCCAGTGGATGGCTTCCTAGAAACGGGGGTCTCAGCAATGAGACAGCCGAGGGGGTCCCCCAGGCCAGCAGTGGCTCAGCTGCCTCCCAGCACCGCAGGGTGAGGCAGGGTGGGGTGGTGAGCTGAGAGGGAAGGGCTGTGTTCAGAAATCAGGGCCTCCTGCATAGAGGGAAGCCAGGCAGAAGGAGCTGTTAGCTGGTAAAAGCACAACAGCTGTTGTTCATACTAAATTGGGGCCCAGGTGACTGGGAGAAAACCCACAGACTCTCCCAGAGGCCTGCCGGGTCTGCACTGCAGACGGAGGCTTTGCGGGACCCTCGGGGGCAGGCTGCAGGAGCCAGGCAGGGCTCCCGTTGGGCCAAACTGCACAATGAACACTTACTGGCTTGTCTCTGAGGACAGACCGGCCTTGCATACCAAACACGTGCGGTGGCTCTGGGGGCCTCTGAGCAGAAGGGCTCGGTCCGGAGACCCAGGGGCTGCTGCAGGTGTTCAGAGCGAGGCTGTAAATGCAGAGCAGGAGGGGAGCATCCCCACAGACTGTCGGGCCGGCAGCGAGACATGCGCGACCACCCAGTGGGGCTGGTGTGCACACACGTGTCTGCAGTGTGGTCAGGTGCCCCGCGGCAGGGAGGGCATGGGTGTGTGTGCGCGCGCGTGTGTACCCGCCTTTGTGTGCATGCTTTGTGTCCGCAGAGCTGTACGTGTCCACGCACTCAGGGTGTCACCCAAACGTCCCGCGGAAACCAACGGCAGGTGTTCTGTCCTCAGGGAGCCTTAGCATGCTAATTTTAATCCCATGTTACTGTGTTAAGCTGCTTCTAAAAATTAAAATGTAGAAATTCCATAAACAGAGCCCAGGGCTACACCGCAAGGCGGGCCCTGGGAAAGGGGTCTCTTGTCACCGTTGCTCTTCCAGGAACGGTGAGCCCTGCCCGTCTGGCCATGCTCCTGTCAGACAAGGGAGGGCCCAGCAGGCCACAGCGGAGAGGACACGACGGGACGCGGCCGGTTGCAACCAGTTGGTCCAGCCCCTCCGCTGACCGTTCCTGGGAGACCGCCGGCCGGGTGGGGTCTCAGGCAGGGCCTTCAGAGTCATCCTGAAGGCCTGGCTTCCGCACGAACTCCCCCAAGCTCAGCACCTGGGGGACGTGATGGACGGGGTGACCCCTTCAAGCCATTACACACACACTCCTCACACAGAGGGTGGCACCTCTCTGTTGGCAAGATGAGGGGAGGCCTGCAGGGCTCCAGGGGGCTCTGGCCTGCCCTTTGTACACCTCGGCTCCCCGGGAAGGACAGAAGGCCAAGCCCTCCTCTGGGATGCTCTGCTCCGTGCTCCCCGCGCCCCTCCCCCTGCAGGAGCACCAAGCAGGAAGGTGCATTGAGGGAGCAGGGTTGCTCCCACTGAAGAGAAAGCAGAGCAGGGCCCTGCCGTTCTCATCTCATCACAAGGCCAAGGAGACCCTGCAGCAGGCGGTACTTGGGCTAGATTTGCCATGGCCTCCTTGACAGCAGAGTAGGCTGTGAGACACGCAGATGGGAGCGGGGGTGGGGGCGGCTGGCCCTGGGCGCAGTCACTCACCCTGTTTTCAGACGTCCCTGAGCAGCCTGCACGGGGACTCCTCCTCTCCTCAAGATGCCCACCGAAGTAGCTGACCGCGAAGCCCCTGCTCCCACCTGCCCCCACCGCTCTGTAGTGACCAGGCCGGAGAGGGGCCAGGGGAGGACCCCGTGATCCCCCTTCAATGCAGCAACGCCCAACACAGGGTCGGGAGAGGGTCACCGAGGGAGGGGCGGAGGCCCCTGACATCCTCAGTCCCCTGGGGCCAGTGGGTCCCCCACTACTGGAACTGCCCCCTGGGGTCCCCTGGGGCCAGTGGGTCCCCCACTACTGGAGCTGGCCCCTGGGGTCCCCCACTACTGGAGCCAGCCCCCTGGAGCTGTAGGAGAGACACAGGGTGGCCCTGACTGCACGTGTCCAGGAGGACTGCCCCCTGGGCAGCAAACCCTTACAACATGTTCAAGGAAGGCCTCTCCGTCTCTGGGAACTTGACCAAAGAGAATCTGGAAGGCTCTCCACGGAGGGCTGCAGCCCACACCCTCATGCACACACGTGCACATACAGGGCTAACATCCCTAGATCATGCGGAACACACAAGCAAGGAACAAGCAGGCACTTCCTGGCCCAAAGGGCCCTTGAAACTCTGGGAGCCTGCGCCTCTCTGCTCCTGTGACCCCTCCCGCCCCTCACACCGCCTGGCCCGTGGCCTTCTCTGGGGAAGTCCAGGCTCCTCTGACGGGGAAGGTGGGGGCTGGCCTCCGACCAGGCAGCAGCGCCCCGACGGTGGACCCCCTACGGGCCAGACCCCGAGGAACCCCATCTCCACGCACCAGGCACCCCTGCGTCCCGGCAGGCGCCACCTGCCCCCATCGGCCATCTCCCTCTCTGCCCTCGCGCTCAGCCTCCCAGGCCCGGAGAACCGCCCCCCAACTGCCCGGTCCGGAAACAATCACCCTTTGAGAAAGGCTGCCAAACTGGGCGCCAGGAACGGCCGGGATGGAGGCGGGGTTGGAGGCGGGGGGCTTTAACTCCGAGGAGAGAGGCCTGGCGGTGTCGCCCCCTCCCGCAGCCCCGCTTCAGAGCGCAGATCCGGGCCGTCTGAGCCTGGGAGGGCGCGGGGCGCGGGGCCCTATCCACCCGGGGGTCCGCGCCTCCTCGTGCACCCGCCCCCACCCGGCGGGGTTGGTACCGGCGGTCCGCGGCGCGGGTCCAGCCGGCAGCTAGCGCGCGGGGCGGGGCGCACGGGGCGGGGCGCGGGGCGGGGCTAGCGGTGGGCCCCAACCCCGGGGGCGGGCCGGGGGCGGGGCTGGCGGCGCTGTCACAGCCGCGGTGGCCCGGGCGCGTCCGCCGCCGCCGAGGGGACTGCGCGCCGGCCCGGTCTGCTGGCTCCGGCCGCGCGCCCCGGCCCCGCGCCTCCGCCCCGCGCCCGGCCGGCTCTCCCCGCTCTGCCGCGCCCCCGACCTCCCTGCCCGGCTCCCCGCCCCGCGCCCCCCGCGCGCTCCCGGGCTCGGCCGCCGCCTCGCCGAGCGCAGAAGGGCCGGGCTGGGGCGGCGCTGACCCCGCGGCAATGAAGGGGCCTCGGGGGACCCGCAGCCCGAGAGCCCCTGGGGCCGGAGGCGCGTGTGGCCGGGGCCAGCAGCTCGGGGGCGCGGGGACCGGCGCCTAGGGGCCGCCGCCGAGATGGAGCGCGCCGGGGACGATCCGGACTCGCCACCGCAGGTCAGTGGCCCCACCGCCGCGTACAGAGCCCCTTTATGCGTCCTCATCGGCAGCCGCGCCATGTCCTCCGGGCGCCTGTGCGCGCGCCCTTGTGTGTGTGTGTGTGCGCGCGCGCGCGCGCGTATGGTGCTGCGCGCAGCGGGGCGGCTGGAGAGCTGGCCAGCATCTGCCCGGGGCCAGGAGGCGCCGCAGTCGAGGGGCTGCTTCGAGACAAGACCTGGGTGGTGCTGGCCGGGGCGTCAAGAAGCAGAAGCTGGCTCTCAGCAGCTGCCAGCCGCAGGGCGGGCTCTTAGCTTGCCTTTTGGGGCCCTTCCTCTCACCTCAGCAGGTGGTTCCTGGTGGCCTGGAGTGGGGGGTCAGCACCGCTGCTCCGGGTCCCCCAGGCTCGTCCCCAAGCCCAGAGGCTCCAGCCACTGGCAAGTTAAGTGTCTGCAACTCTCCCGTGAGGCCGGGGGCTGAGCCGTGGTGAGGCGGTCCAGCGTCAGGATGGGCATGCAGGGGGAGGAAGGAGTCGGGAGGGAGTTCATCACCAGCCCAACGCCTGGGCTCAGGCCTGGGGCCCCAGGCCCCCCAACCAGAGCCCACAGCTTAGGGGAACAGACTGCTGTGAGGCAGCAGAGGATGGAAGGGAGGCCATGGAAGTGACGGCCTGGGGCTGGAGCTGAGGTTGAGAGAACCCGCCCCCCACCGTGCGCGCAGAGGCAGAAACAGCACCCTCCCCAGCCCTATGCCTGTCCTGCCGTGGCCAGGCCTAGTCCCAGCCCCACGCTGCTTGCATGGATTCTTGTAGAAGCTGGGGCAGCGGGACTCTGGGGATCTCTGCCTGGATGCTGAGGCCAGCCTTGCAGACGGCTGGTCGCCCCAGGCTGGTGGGGGCAGCTCCGTGTGGGTACTGGGTGAGTGGGTGGGGAACCCACTGGGGGCTTGACGTGCACTGCTGCCCAGGACTGGGTGGGGATGTCCCCGGGGCAGCCAGTGACATCTTGTGTGTGGCTGCGTCAGGGTGGGGCTCATGGCGCCCTGAGTTACGGGGCTGTGGGCGTGTGACTTTACCGGACGGTGGCTCCCACTTCCCCAGATCCACCTTCTGTCCCCCAGGGCTCTCTGCCTCCAGCACAGAGACCGAGGCGTCCCCTCCAAAGCTGCTGAGCTGGGGGCTGTTAGTGGCCTCACTGGACCTGACGTTGAGTCCCCTTCCTTTGTTTAGAACAAAGACCCTTCCCCCGTGAGACCCTCAGAGAGACTGCACTTCACCCAGTCCATGCCCAGCACCCCCAAAGCTTCTGGGGCTGCACACATCCCCCTCTCCCCATCTTGGGGGGTGCAGAAGGTTTGCCCCGGTGGTGGAGCAGGGAGGCTTGATGGATCCGTGCCCCCTTTGGCGCCAGGTGGCTGCTGTGCCTGTTTCATGCCTGCCTGTGGGTGAGCCCCTCCTCGTTGGGGTGTGTTGGCAGCTCTTGGGTGCTGGACTGAACGCACACACAGAGGTTCTGGATGAGCAGCAGCGACGGGCCCATCTGAAGGGGGGCTGGTGGAGACCGGGGGCTCCAGAGGAGGAAGTGGGGGGCCAGCCCTGCCCCCGGCCGCTGTCTCTGGACACACCTGGGTTCCCCCCTATGGTTTTGAGGGGCCAGGGGACCCGGGTGGCTGGCCTTTCCTGGTTGTGAGCACTGGGTGATGAGGAGGGCGGAAGCTTCACAAGTGTGGCGGGTCCAGCGGTGAGCTAACCCTGAACCAGGCTCTAGGGTCAGGGAAGCGTGTTGGTCCAGCTTGGCCAGAGGAGGGGCTGAGCGCTCTCCTCTGCTGAGCGCTGGACGGGAGGAGAGGCCGGGCTCGGGAAGAGAGAATCTGAGAGTCCGAGGCAGCCGGAGCAGCAGCGGGAGACAGCAGACAAAGACACAGAAGCGTGGGCGCCAGGGGCCCAGCAGCGTGGGGGCAGCCTCGGGCCTCCTTCCAAGATGCCCACGTCAGCAGTCAGCGGCCAGGGCAGGGGGCCGGACCCCCAAGGAGGGTCTTCCCGAGACACAGGGGAGCGCAGGGTTCAGGGGGAGCCCTGGGCAGAAGGGACCCTCTTGCGTGTGCCCACCCCCACGCCTTCTGGGGAGAAGGAGAAGGGAAGCCTTCCTGCAGCCCAGGCCTGCAGGCCAGAAGTCCTGCTGAGCGTGTGGGGTGGGCACGTGGAGGTGGTGCCGTGTGGGGCACAGGCTGGCCAGGCCGAAGCTGCCTCGGTCCCTGTGATCGGCCGGGAGGGCTTCAGGGAAAGCGGAGGCCTCTAGGCCCTGATTCCTGAAGGCCCGGAGGCCCAGGAGACTGTCCTGCCAGGCTGTCTGTAGGTGAAGTGCCCAAGAGGCGTCACCGTAGTGTCTGTGTCTGCTCCGTCCGCGTGAGCCCCTGGCATCCGGAAGGCTCTGAATGGAGTAGCCGTTCTCAGGCCCACCCTGGGGCCACCTCACTGGCCTTGCTGCCCACTCTCCATTCAGACTGCCGCCTCCAGGCCTGAGGCCTGGTCCTGCCCCTGCCGTTCTGCTGGGGGAGACACAGTCAGGGTCCCCCTCCAAATGGCAGCAACACGCTTCTGTGTGGAATCTGCAGTCGGTGCGGCCCTTGCACGTCTCGGCCAGTGTCCCCCCGACATCCATGCAGCTGACAGGAACCCCAGGCCAGTGGGGACTGGTATGGGTGCTGCCAGCTGGCTAGGTGGGCGGGGGTGCTCCGAGCCCGTTCCACACTCGCTCACTGAGCACCTACTGTGCCCTGGGCCCCAGGCCAGGCCAGGGAGGGAAAGTGTCAAGTGGGCCCCAGTCAGATCAGGTTTTCTGTTTAGCTTAGCTTTGGAAGGAAGGACTGAGTGGGTTGCCTTTTTTTCTTGCAGCTACAGCAAATTTACTTTCCTAATGAGGTTTAGCTCTAGCCAATATTAAAATGAATCTGCTCCCTGAGCACAGCAGCTGACAGCAGGGCAGTGGGCTCCCCGCCAGGCCCCTGGCAGGGCTTGGGGCTTTGCCGCCCAGAAGCTCGATGGCGGGGAGTCTCAAGGTGGACCTCCAAGAGCTGGCTGGACTGGGGATGTCTTCCCCGAGATCAGAGCCCTGAGCAGGGGGTCTCCCGCCCCACAGCCAGGGGACGGGGCCTGGTCCTTGTTCACGAAGAAGGGGGAGGGGCCGGGGCCATGGGGATCAGGGGGCCGGTGTCAGGAGGGACCCAGCCTGAGGTCCTCGTGGACCCCGCACAAGGCTGAGCACGTGCCGTCCCTCCTCCTCCCCTGCCCTGTTTCGCTTCGTTCCATGGGGAGTAGTGAGCGCGCGTCTGTTCACTTTACCCAGCGCTGGGAGCCGCAGAGCCCAGCTGGACGTGGCACGGCTGCCCCCTCCCCCGGCAGGCATCCCCCAGCCACGCCAGCGCTTTCTGTGAGCTCAGGCATGCACGGGGCTTGTGGCCGCCCCGCAGGACAGCACGGACGCGTCCAGGATGAGCGCAGCGTCCCTGAGTGCCCCTGGCGAGTGCTGCCCCGGGCTCAGCCCTGCACCCGCAGGCGCGGAGAGCGTGGGCTGTGGGACGCGCACCCTCTGCATCCACACTGTGTGTCCCGGGGCCTCCCCTGACCACCTGTGCCCCCGCGTGTCTTGCCTCTGAGCGGGATGATAACGGGATGCTTGTGAGGTGGGAAGGAAAGTCACAGTAAATCATGTTACTCACTTGGAACACGAGCAGTAGGTGCTTTGCTCAGCAGGTATTTTTGCCTCTTTTTTTAAAATCTGGCTGCCCCGGGCCTTAGTTGCAGCACCCCGGATCTTCAGCTGCAGACTCTTAGTTCCCGCATGTGGGATCCAGTTTCCTGAGGGATGGAACCTGGGCCCCTGCACTGGGAGTGTGGAGTGCTCGCCACTGGATCGCCAGGGAACTCCCGGCGATTTTTAAAATTATTCATTCAGTGAACGTTTCATCCAACAGACACTTGGACGACACGCAGTGTGCCTGGCGCGGAGGGACCCAGGTGTGGCCTTGCCTCCGTCACCCACGGCCCTGAGCCCGTCCCCTCCCTGTGGTGGGGCCACGGTGAGCCCGGCACCATCTCGGTCCTGTCCGCCTTTGCGAGTGAGCGCAGCTACCCCAGCTGCCCCCAAAGGGCCCTGCTTAGCACACAAGGTTCCGGCCTCCGGGGTGTCTGGGCAGGTGGGGCGGTGGGGGCCGGGGGTCTCTGCCTGGCTCCCAGCCCTGGTCCTGAGGGAGAGGAGCCCCAGGCCAGGCAGGCCCCATGACCAGCTGCTGTCCGCCTCCAGGCCCAGCTGTGTCGGCCGCTCACTGCGGACTCAGTCCCGGGGCCTCGTCTCCTCATCTAAAACGATAGCCGCGTGAGGCGGGTGGCCGTGTCCTGCCCCGACCACACCCTGCCCTCAGTCAGCCCCCCGATCGACACCCCAGGAGCGGGGTGGGGGCGTCCACGTCCGCCGAGAGGGCGGGAGGCAGGGCGAGCAGGTCTAGGAGCTGGCGTTGGCCCTGCAGACCATCCAGCCAGAGTTAGGGTTCTGCATCTGAAGATGCATCCTTCTTTCTAGGGACCAGGAAGCTGACCAGGGCAGTTCTGCTATTATTTCGGGTCACACAGCACTCTTGTACCTGGTCCCAGACATGGCTGAGTCTAACGCCCTCCCTCCCATCTCAGGCCCCCTGTGCTCTTTAGGATGGAGACAGGCCCCCCAGGCGGAGGGCGAGAGGCCCACCATGGGACCGGGCTCCCCTCCCCCACCAGCCAGCCAGGCCTCCGCTGTCCTCCCAGGACAGCTGGCGGGAGGATGCACCTATGCTGTCCTGCCAGGGCCCCAGGGAAGGTCAGCTGGTTCGGGCCACAGGCAGCTCATTGAAAATACACAGGAAACTTTAATTAGACCAGTGAATCAGCAGCCTGCATGGTGTGTGCACACTCTGACCACACGGTGTGCACACAGTCTGACCACAATCTGACCACATGGTGTGTGCACACCCTCTGCCCCCAGGCCTCTGTGCTCTGGTTGCTCTATGGCCTCTGAGCAGGTTGTTCTGTTTTCTTTCATCTTTTGAGCCTCTAAGGTGAAGTGAAGTGTTGCTCGCCTGACTCACCCTGTGCCGACAAGGACTTTTTCCTATTCCCGTAAGCCTCCCTCTGGGAGCCAGCATCCACACCTCCGCCCCTCCCCATACCCCCAGCTGGAAACCCAGCCATCTGCACTGTGCGCATGTGTGCATGCACATCCATGTGTGCATGCCATCCTCTCACCATGTCCTGCACACTCCTGGGGACTTACCTGGAACCCCTGGGTCACGTCTCCTGGAGGTGCCCGCTGTGTGTCTCTTCATGGAGACACCACCATGCCGGCCAGAAGGAAGGTCTGGCACTGGGACCATGCAGGTGCCACCCGGCCCAGGCCCCAGTGTCACTGCTGACCCATCCGAGCACAGCTGTTTGATGTCAGGTCCTTTTCTGAGGCAGAAATTCATAGAATGCACAATTCCGATGTACCACCATAATGACTCTCAAGTGTTCACGGCACCAAGGACATCCCAGTGCGTGCCTGTCCAGCTCCAGGACTTCCCCATCCTTCACACTGGAAGCTGTGTGCTTCCCCAGCCCCCGCCCAAGCTCGGGCCCCCAGCCTCTGCCCTGGGCCGAGTCCCACGACCTTGTGCCTCTGTGAGCGGGTCAGGGGCTTGGTCCGGCTGTGCCGTGCCTCCCGAGCCCAGCGTCCTCTAGGTCTCCGTGTCAGAGCAGCGTCAGCGCTGGTCCCTGCTGGGCTGGGTCACTCCATGTGGATGCATCTTGCCAGCCCAGTCCTCAGACGGGCAGGCCGTTTACTGCCAGACCGTGGGGCGGAGGCGGTCCACGGTGGTGCTTTCCCACTGCCCTTCCTGCCCAGGGCTGCAGACACCTCTGTGCTCTGAGAACCAGGCGCCTGGGGAGCAGGGAGGATGGACCCCTGCCTTCCCTGACCGTCCAGAGCCAACCACAGGGCTAGTGTGCTTGACAGCCCAGGAGACGGGGAGGCAAGAGTATGGCCACGGCTACAGGTGGGGCCAGTGAAGGGACAGCCCCGCCGGGACCCAGGGCCCCAGGCAAGGAGCCGGCCCCTTGCAGAGCCTGTGCGTGGGGCGGCCCTCTGCCCGCATCTCGGAGGCTCAGCCTGTCTAGACCACCGCTGTGTCCCATGCACCTGGGGGACAGAACCACCCTCTGGGGCTGAGGCCGGGGACCCTGGGTCCATCACCCACCCCGGGGTGGTGTCTGGGCTGAGACTGGGACCCTGGGTCCATCACTGCCCCCCCCCAGTGTGGGGTCTGGGCTGAGACTGGGACCCTGGGTCCATCACTGCCCCCCCCCCCCAGTGTGGGGTCTGGGCTGAGACTGGGACCCTGGGTCCATCACCCCCTCAGGGTGGGGTCTGGGCTGAGACTGAGACCCTGGGTCTATCACCCCCTCAGGGTGGGGTCTGGGCTGAGACTGGGACCCCGGGTCCATCACTGCCCCCCCCCAGTGTGGGGTCTGGGCTGAGACTGGGACCCTGGGTCCATCACTGCCCCCCCCCCAGTGTGGGGTCTGGGCTGAGACTGGGACCCTGGGTCCATCACCCCCTCAGGGTGGGGTCTGGGCTGAGACTGGGACCCTGGGTCCATCACTGACCCCCCCAGTGTGGGGTCTGGGCTGAGACTGGGACCCTGGGTCCATCACCCCCTCAGGGTGGGGTCTGGGCTGAGACTGGGACCCTGGGTCCATCACTGCCCCCCCCCAGTGTGGGGTCTGGGCTGAGACTGGGACCCTGGGTCCATCACTGCCCCCCCCCAGTGTGGGGTCTGGGCTGAGACTGGGACCCTGGGTCCATCACCCCCTCAGGGTGGGGTCTGGGCTGAGACTGGGACCCTGGGTCTATCACCCCCTCAGGGTGGGGTCTGGGCTGAGACTGAGACCCTGGGTCTATCACCCCCTCAGGGTGGGGTCTGGGCTGAGACTGGGACCCTGGGTCCATCACTGCCCCCACCCCAGTGTGGGGTCTGGGCTGAGACTGGGACCCTGGGTCCATCACTGCCCCCCCCAGTGTGGGATCTGGGCTGAGACTGGGACCCTGGGTCCATCACCCCCTCAGGGTGGGGTCTGGGCTGAGACTGAGACCCTGGGTCTATCACCCCCTCAGGGTGGGGTCTGGGCTGAGACTGGGACCCTGGGTCCATCACCCCATCCCCTCCCCGCCAGGTCACTGCCTGCTCGGAGCCACACCTTCTGCTCACTTCTCCCAGTGTCTCTCACGACGCGGGCACGGCTGACCCCAGGGAAGGAATGGGGTGGCAGGAGAGACGAGTGGCCCTGTGTCCATGGCCCCCACCTCCAAGCTCAGCCCCGAGCCTGAAGGAGGAGCCTGAGCTCACTCGCCCTGGAGATGGAGGGAGACAGGGCACCCCTGCCCTCCCCAAGTGCTGGGCATGCCCTGGCCGCACCCGGCATCAGGGCAGGGACAGGGCTAGAGTTGGGGCCAGGGGGCGCCCCAAAGCCATGGTGGGCCGCCCCAGCAGCCACCCACGCTGGGAGCCCGGAGGTCGGGGTGGGGAGGGCTAGCCCTGGCACACACCCCGCTCCTCACTCCTCCCCGGAGTCCACGTTGCGGGCATGCCTGCAGGTACAGCCTCGTCCGAGGGAAGGAGGAACCTGCTGTGAGAGCCGCCCGAGGCTGGCCGGGCCAGGGGGAGCCAGGGACCCCGCGTCCCGTCTCTGCCAGACGTGTGCGCTCAGCTGGAGTCATGAGCGGGCTGCTGCTGTCCCTGCTACGATATTCCACACTTTGAAGCCTTCGTGGCTCTCTCTGCGGGCCAGGCCCTGTGCCGGGGTTCTCCACAGACCCCCCAGCGGATCCCAAAGCGCCTGATGAGCATTGCAAAGGAGACTTAGTGCCAGAGACACAGTGCAGCCCCCACGGTGTGTGGGGACCGGAGGGGTCTGGAGGAGCCCTGGCCTGGGGGCTGCAGACGGACGCAGAACCAGCAAGACCAGCGGGTTCATGCAGGGTGTGGGCTGGCCACAGAGTGCGTGGAGCCGGGCAAGCTTCAGGGGTCAGGCCAAGGGCTCAGAGTGCCAGGTGGTCTCCCCTGGAAACCGCGGGGTGGGTGGGACCCTCACCCCAAACCGCAGGCCACCAGCTCCAAGGGAAACAGGCAGAGAGAAGCAGGATGGCCAGACAGCGGGGGCATGGTGGGGGGGACAGACAGCCATGTGCTGACAGCCCAGCACGGCTGAGCGCAGCCTCGCCCGTGGCCTGCAGGCTCTGCACGCTGTCCTGGGCCCGCGCAGCCTCGGACACTCAACCCCAGGCCCCCAGCCCCTGGCCTTTGCCCTCTGTTTCCTATCAGAGCCGAGGGCAGTGCCCGGGGGCCCCATGCACTGCGTGTCAGCGTGTCCTGAGCGTGTCCTGAGCTGCCCCACGCCTCCAGGGCCTGGGGCTGAGCACTGAGCGTGTGTTCCAGGGTGTTTTCTGCGGCCACACTGGACTCGGGCAGGGCCGTGTCCCGGGGCCAGGGTGACTGCCTGCTGCGTCCACACAGCCTCTCCTGGGGGATGTTCCTCAGAGGCCTCTGTGCCCTGAGACCACGCATATGCCCAGGAACACTCATGTGCCCACAGACACATGTGCACTCACTCAGAGGCACCGCGAGCTCACACGTGCACACGTGTGTGACATCACCCGGGGCAGTGGCTCCGAGGAGCTCGCAGAATGGACCTAGATCCGTTACCTCCCGAGTGAAACTACAGACTGCTTTGGGGGCAGGGGGCTGGTGCTTTGGCCACTGTGGGGCTGAATCACAATCGGACAGTGCTGAGGTGGGGTGCAGTGCCCAGCTGGGACCCAGGCTTCCTGCAAGGTGGCCGGCGGGCTCGGAGATACTCAGACCCCTGAGCAGGGCCGTGACGGGCCTTGTGGAGGGGACAGCCGCCCGAGGCCCTCCAGCAGCAGCTCTCCACGGGGGCGCACACCCTGGCCGGCCGCTGTTGGGTGGCCTACTTTCCCTGTGGTCTGTGTCCCCACCTTGAGTCACGCTGCAGGGCACGCGTGTGCTTTGGGCCCAGCCCAGGGCACCCAGGACGCACCCTGGGTGATGCCCTCCTGCTAGGGGGCTGTGGGGCATGTGGACGACCTTCTGCCCGAAGACGGAGACGTCAGTCAAGCCACTGGTGCTGCTGGTTTGTGCCATTCAGATTCCCGCAGTGCAGGGGACCACGCTCATCAGACCCTGTCTCCACTCTCTACTGAGTCAGAATCCAAACCCGATCCCAAGGCTATTTCTGAATAACTGGAAGAAAAACCAAGGAGCCACTTCAAACATAACCGATGGACTGTTGTTTCCTGACTCCTGCGTGGAAGAAACTCAAAGCCGTCAGCCTAGCCTGAGCCGAGCGGGCGTCCTTCCACCCCAGCCAGGGGCTGGGGTCTCAGCCAGAGTGGAGGAAGATGGCACCAGGCCTGGGGTCCCTCCAGCCCCCACCGTGAGGGCTGGTGGAGAGCCCCTCCTGGCTGAACTGGGTCCTTAGCGCTGCCCGAGGGGCCAGGCCTGCCAGCAGGAACAGTGTGCATAGGGCAGGTGTGCATGCTCTGAGACTGACCCGGGCCCTCCAGGCCTCAGTTTCCTAGCCTGTGAAATGGGGCTGAGACTGCCGTGCCTGCCTCAGAGGCCGCTGTGGCTTGCAGAGAAGGAACCCCACCTGCCCAGGGCAGGGCTGCAGCCCCAGGGGCTGTCTGAGCCCTCCTGGGGTGGAAGGCCCCCTCTCTCACATGCTCCGGCAGTGAGGGCCGAGCCGGGGGACAGCGGCCGCCATGTGCTTCCCCCTCCCCTCGGAGCCAGGGGGACGAGGAGGCCGGGGAGGAGGCCTGGGGCCAGCTGATGCATGTGGACCCTGGGGTGGGAGCCGGCTAGCTGTGGCCTCGGGCTTGTCCCGTGCAGGGGCCGCGGGGTCGATGCTGAGTCCTGTTAGGCTCCTGCAAGTCTCGGGGACCGTCTGAGGCCGGGGATGAGCCGGCCCTTCCCGGCATCCTGCCCACTGACCTCCGCTGACCTCCACCCAGCTTCTCCAAACCAGCCCCTCCTCCTGCACAGCCCCAACGTCTGCGCAGCCCCGGGCACTCAGCTCCCAGGGACGGGGGCGGCTGCTGTCCTCATGGCCCAGCCGTGTCCCCTCCACCCACTCAGGACCGACGCCCTGGCTTGTCTGAGCATTGCCGGCAGGCGGGGTCCCTCTGGGCCAGGGAGCTGCGGCCTCCCCAGAGTCTGTAAGGCTCCTCATCCGTCTGCAATGGCCCCGCATGCTCTCATCTCTGTGCACGGTCAGTCTGTCCAACTCTGCAACCCCACAGACTGCAGCCCGCCAGGCTCATCTGCCCATGGGATTCTTCAGGCAAGAAGACTGCAGTGGGATGCCAAGCCCTCCTCCAGGGGATCTTCCCGACCCAGGGATTGAACCCGGGTCTCCTGCATCTCCTGCATTGTAGGCAGATTCTTTACTGCTGAGCCACCAGGGAAGCCCCTTATCAACACAGAATATGGCAGAAAAAAGAAATTCAAGCCGGAAAGGAAGAAAGCCCTTATTTCTATGAGAATTAAGTTGAATGCTCTTCAAAGGTTCCACAAGGAGAGTCCGGGAAAACGTTCTCCAGGCGAGATGAAGACCGTGGGAAACATCATACAAATGCTGAAGGACGCCATGCAGGTCGCCCACCAAGTGTCCCCCGGTCGCGGACCACTTCAGGGAAGTCAGTGTCAAGGCCGCGGGCACGGTGCCCCGGGGGGTGACTCCCCGCAGACTGTGAGCTCCCGCGACATCCTTGGCCTCGCAGGCAGAGCCGTGCTGGCTGGTGACAGGCGCCCAGTCGGGGAAAGGACCGCGGGCTGGGCGGTGGGCAGGACACGCGTGGCTTGTACACATCCCCTCCGGGGGTTCTTCTCCTCGTGGCCTCCTGCGACCCGCCCGCCAGCCTCGATCCCAGGCCTATGAGCACCATGGCCCCTGCCCTGCTCGAGGGCTCGGGGGTGGGGGGGAGGATCTGTGTGTAACTGACCTCCACCACACACGCACACACACGCGCACACACACGCATGTGCACACACACGCACACACATACACTGTGCGTGCAGGCACACACGTGCACATGCATACACACTCACATGTGCACGCGCCAGCTCTGCAGTTACCTCCCTGAGTGGCAGGACAGAGCTGTGTGGAGCCTTCCTCCCTGCGGGACAGGTGCTGATGGCCACCTGCCCGTCCCCACCCCACCCCCTGCCCCCACCACCACACGGCGCCTGAATCCAGCAGGGCCCTGCCCACCACCAGTGGGACTAAACCAGCTCCTCCCCAGGTGTGGGATGCGGGTGAGCTTTCTGCCCGAATCCCTGCAGTCTCAGGAGGCAGGGTGCTGTGAGCCTCGAAGCCAAGCTCTCCCAGCTTCTTCCAGGCGGCCTGCTCGAGGCTGAACCCCAAGCTGGCTGCCCACCACCCCTCCAGGGCCATGCCCCCGTGCATCCTTGCAGCCCCCTCTCAGACTCAGGCCTCTGGGTCTGGGGTGCTCCGCCTGCCCCACCCCACGCCTCCACCCAAGGCCCCCAGACCCCCAGTCTTAGCCACCCAGCCCCAGGCCCGCCCCCCACAGGCCCCCTGCTGGCCAACTGGCTCCCTTGGAGGCTGGGGGCTCCCCGCTCCACTTCATAACCGCCTGGTAATTAGCTCCACGACTTTGCTGCCGTGCTTATAATAGACTCCATTAAAGTTATGGGGTTTTCAAGCTGTAATGGCTTCCAAAGTAATTAATGCACAACTGGGTTTATGGCTAAGTTTATTTTTAGAGCTTTCCTGCCTCTCCCTCCTTCCTGTCATAGATGTTTTGACCAGATAGACTGGACGGGGTCAGAGCGTCCCCCTAAGGCCGTTGCCTCTGTCCCCCTCCTGCTCTCTGGGGGGCACAGGACCTTGAGGGGGCTGCCTCTAAAGGGGGTCTAGGACCTGACGCTCCTTCCCCTGCTCCCAGAGGGCCTGGGTTCAAGTCTGCCCCAGCACGAGCCGTCACTTGTGGCCTCGGCGAGCACCGGGCAGAAGGGGATGCGGGAGGACTCAGGGAGCAGAGAGTGCTCCCTAGGAACAGCCACAATGGGGGCGGGTGCTTGAGTGCCCAGACCAGGCCAGCCCCCACAGCCAGACGCTGGAAAAGCCCTGGGGGACCCACACCCCGAGGAGGCCTCCCTGCATGGCCCGTGGCAGCCAGCCAGACCGAGGCCCGGACCCGGCGCTCGGCGTCCTACCCATGGGCTCAGCGTGGGTGGGGCTGGCCGGGGAGGCACCCCGACACCCGGACGGGCAGGCAGTGTGGCCTCTGGGCGCCTCCCGCAGGGCCGCGGCCGGGAGCATCGAGGCAGCTCGGGGTCCAGGAACCCGCCCCGAGCCCGCACCACCTGACCCCCGGGCCTGTCTGCTGTCTGCTCCAAGCAGGCGGTGCAGACGGGCTGAGGCAGCCAGTGGGAGCACCCGCCTGCTGGGAGGGCTGCAGGCGAGAAGACCGGGCAGGGAGGAGAGACGCAGCACCTCCGAGAGTCCTGCTCAGCCCGGCTCCCCGTCTCGCGGGAGACGGGTGTCCGCCTGCCTGCGGCTGGGTGGACGATAGGCTCGGGGGCTCAGCCTGCCAGACCAGGCCGCCCGTGGCAGTCCTCCCCCCGGGCTGCCGCTGTGGGACCAGAGGCGTCTTGCAGGGCTCTCAGCATGGAAGTGGGGGGTGGACGAGGGGGTGACAGTCCCCAGGCTGCCAGGAGGCAGGGTGCCTGTCCCTCGTCACGAGCTCAGCTGGCCTGGAGGGGAGCTGTCGGCACGCGAGCCCCTTGGCTGACCCCTGAGCGCCTCGGCTGACCCCCGGCCGTGGCCACAGTCCAGGCCCTGTCCTGCCCAAACTAGCTGAGGATGCACCCTCCCAGAACCCACCTCCAAACGCCACTGGCCAGTCCTCTGAGGACTCAGTTGGAGCAGATGCCTTCATCCAGGCTGTGAAACGACGTCCGAGCACAAGGCTGTGGCCATCACAGCCACAAGGCCGTCACCCTGAGCGCTTGCTGCATCCACCTGGTGGCAGGCTGCGAGGCTCACAGGCGTTAAAGCCTTGGAAAGTAGGTGCCCTCTTCGTCAATGAGCAAACAGGCCCAGGACTGGGCCAGGGGAACCGAGGCAGGGGTGTCTGAGCCCTGAGTGCGCACCGCCCACTTCATAAAAGAGCAAACAGGCCCGGGGGTGAGCCGGGGGAACCCGCCAAGGGTGTCTGGACCAAGGGGGCACCGCCTGTCCTTGGCCCTGCGGGGCAGCCCCCCAGACCTCCAGCCAGCCTCTCTGTCCCCTCTTGCAGGTGTCCACCCCGCAGGGCTCCTGACCCACCGCGGACGTCACCCCTTCCCAGACTCCGGTCGGGCCGGACTCCGCAGAGCTGCATCGGCAATGGGTGGGTTGAGCGGTCAGGCCCGTGGGCTGGCGTGCGGCACCCCGCGGCCCTGTGCCCAGCCTGCCCGGCCCACTCATGTGCTTTCCTCCCCCCCACGGCCACTGCCCAGCTCACGAGGAGCTGTGGGCCCAGCCAGCCTTGGAGATGCCGAAGCGACGGGACGTCCTCGCCATCGTGCTCATCGTGCTTCCCTGGACGCTGCTGGTCACCGTGTGGCACCAGAGCACCATCGCGCCCCTGCTCACCGCGCGCAAGGGTGAGTCCCGCCCTGCCGGGCTTCGCGGGAGGGGAGACCGCAGCCTGCAGGCCTGAGTCTCCTGATGGGGTGACCCCAGCCTGGAGGTCTGAGTCTCCCCTGACGGGGTGGCCGCAGCCTGCAGGCCTGAGTCTCCTGATGGGGTGACCCCAGCCTGGAGGTCTGAGTCTCCCCTGACGGGGTGGCCGCAGCCTGCAGGCCTGAGTCTCCCCTGATGGGGTGGCCGCAGCCTGCAGGCCTGAGTCTCCTGACAGGGTGACCCCAGCCTGCAGGCCTGAGTCTCCTGATGGGGTGACCCCAGCCTGCAGGCCTGAGTCTCCTGACGGGGTGACCCCAGCCTGGAGGTCTGAGTCTCCCCTGACGGGTGACCGCAGCCTGGAGGCCTGAGTCTCCCCTGATGGGGTGGCCACAGCCTGCAGGCCTGAGTCTCCCCTGATGGGGTGGCTGCAGCCTGGAGGCCTGAGTCTCCCCTGACGGGTGACCGCAGCCTGGAGGCCTGAGTCTCCCCTGATGGGGTGGCTGCAGCCTGGAGGCCTGAGTCTCCCCTGACGGGTGACCGCAGCCTGCAGGCCTGAGTCTCCTGACAGGGTGACCCCAGCCTGGAGGCCTGAGTCTCCCCTGCTCCGCCAGAGGGGAACTGGGGACGACCTGGCTGATGACCGCACCCTTGGGGGCTGACCTGGGGCTTGGATGGTGCCATGCACACAGGCTCAGAGCCTTACAGGCTCTCCTCTGCACCCACGCCCAGGACATGCAGCACAGGAGGGCGTGGGGGTGGGGGGCGTGCCCCACAGGAGGGCTGGGGGGTGCACCATGAAGGACTCGGAGGGTCGGGCATGCCCCACAGGAGGACTCGGGGGGTGCACCATGAAGGACTCAGGGTTGGGGGGCGGGATTCCCAGCCTGTGTCACTGAAAGCCTTTCAGGGCGAGAGTCTCTTTCCCTGGTCAGGAAGCCCTGACGCAGCCCCCAGTCCCCAGAGCAGGCAGGGCCGAGAGCCCCAGTCTGGGGTGGGCGGCCCGTACCATGATGCATCAGGCTGCTCATCCCTGCGGGGGCCTGAAGCTTCCTCCGGGAGGGCCAGGCCGAGCACGGCTCAGTGCCCACCGCCCGTCAGGTGCCGGAACTCTCCCGGCGTTTCCTCCCCTCACTCCTTGCTGGCCGAGCTGAGTGGCTCATGGGATCTCAGTTCCCTGAGCAGGGACGGAACCCAGGCCACAGCAGTGTGAGCCCCAAGTCCTCAGCCTGGACCCCAGGGCCGCTGCTTGTCCTTTAGGGTTGTCACCGCAGCACCTGCGAGGTTTGTCACGTGGGATGCAACACCACGTGCTTCCGGTCTCCGCAGCGCTTCGGGCTGAGGGGCCCCAGGCTGCCGTGCTCAGCACAGCCGGTCATGCCTAGAGACAGGACAGGGCAGCCGCGATGCTGGACAGAGGCAGCAGCAGAGGGCGATGGGGGCGCTGAGGACTCGGAGGCGGCGGCAGCCCTGACCCAGCCCGTCGCGGGCTCGCAGACGCTCCAGGGCTCAGAGCCACCTGCGGGGGCGTGACTGAAGGGCAGACAGGGGAGGACGGGGGTCAGTGACGCTCAATGTCCTCCCCGAGCCTCGGTTTCCAAAGCTCTGCTCACAGCAGGATACACTAATCCTTATTTATGTCCTGGTCTGCAGCTGCTCTCTACAAGCTAGCTTTCTTTTCCCAGTTTGACCCAAAACTCCTGTAGAAAGTCCCCTTGTTTGCCTGTTCTGGTCTCCCCACCCTGCACCCACAGCCCGGGGTCAGGCTCCCACCTGGGCTGTGTCTCCCCAGTGGGGGTTATTAGCCCGTGGGAACTCTCTCAGAGCCGGGGACGCATCTGTCACTCTGGAGCCCTGTGCCCAGCCCCACGCCAGCGCCTGCACCCACACCCGCATGCTAACGAGAGCTGTAGGAAGCCTGGCCTCCTGGGGCTCTCTTCACTCCCCGCAGGGGATTGCTCCCACCGCCCTTTTCATAGTTGCAAGAAGCCATGAGAACAGAGCATCTTACCGTCCCCCTCTGCACAGGGGATATGTTGTGAGCCCGGGCTGTGTTCCAAGCCCCTGAACCCACACGGAACTTGGATAAAGGAGATGCAGTTATCAGCTCTCCTTGGCAGCTGCCCGCAGTGACCAGAGGCGAGGCGCCCGGCTCAGGGTCGTACGGTTAGTGCAGAGCCAGCCAGAGTCTGAGCCTCGGAGCTTGGACCCTGAGGTCTGGCCTCCGACCGTCCCGCCTCCCGCTGAGATGGCCCAGGAGCAATAAGCGCCCAAGTCCTTCATGCTGCCGGACAGGCCTCGGGGGCAGGGGGGCACTTTCAGAACGGGAGGGGTTGCGGGCTGTCCCCCCGTGAGGGGCTGCTGGCTCCCCACGGGGATGCAGATGTAGGAGAAAGCCTGATCATCAGCGCCACCCTGGCGGGAGCAGGGCGTCTCCAAAGGCTCCCATGCCTGCGTGTCATGGAGGCGGGCCTCTGCCCAGCTCCACACACGCCCCTCCTGGGTGCACGGCTTGGTGGGGGCACAGGCAAGGCCCCAGGGGCTGAGAGCGCATGATGGGAATGTGTGTGTGGGGAGACACACAGGCCGGGAGCAGCCGAGGCCGGTCTCCACCCCACCCTCTGGCCCAAACGCGGGACATCGGCGGTCAGAAGGGACAGGCTCGGGATCCAGAAGCATCTTGCCCCCGGGACAGAGTGCCGTGGCGAAGCCCCACACTCTGACCCAGATTCTGGGTCAGGCCCCAGAGCGCCTTTGGGGCAGCCCCCTGCAGGCCCCTTCCCCACGAGGGAGCAGGAGGGGGACGGGGAGGGGAGCACGGAGGCGACAGCCTGAGAGGGAGGCTATGACACCGTCCGGCCTATCTGGAACCCAGGCAAGGCACTCCTGGACTCTGGGGCCACAGGGTGCAGCACCGAAGCACTGGAGCTGCCCCGGGCACGAGTGCTGGCGCCCGGGCCCCTCGGCCAGCTCTGGAAGGCGTGGGGGGCGTGGGCCGCAAGGCAGGTGCTTCGTCATACAAAGCCCGGCACAGACAGGAGCCCAGGGTGCCACGCTGCAGTGTGGCCAGCTGCCCTTAAACAGCTCCGAGCTGTCGAAAGCCAGACGTAGGGAGAGGTTATCTCTGTGTCATTTGGGAGTCAGAAAGAGGAGGACCGGGGGAGGGTGTCAGGCAGCCAGGCTTGACCGTCAGCCGCAGCCCCCAGGACCCCGGACAGGCGTGCACTGACTCTCCCACAGGAGGAGCAGGGGAGAGCCGGGCGGGCTGGTACCTGTGCCCAGTACAGCTGTACCTAGTGCCTGTACCCAGCACCCCTGTACCCTGTGTTAATACCCAGTACCCCATACCTGGTACCTGTACCCAGTACCTCTGTACCTGGTACAGCTGTACCTAGTACCTGTACCCCCAGTACTCCTGTACCCAGCACCCCTGTACCCTGTGTTAATAGCCAGTACCCCATACTTAGTATCTGTACCCAGTACCTCTGTACCCAGTACCTGTACCTGGTACAGCTGTACCTAGTACCTGTACCCCCAGTACTCCTGTACCCAGCATCTCTGTATCCAGTACCCTTGTACCCAGTGCTCATACCCAGTACCCCTATTCCTGGTATCTATACCCAGTACCTATACCCCCAGTACCCCAGTACCCAGTATCTCTGTATCCAGTACTCCTACACCCAGTACCCTGTACCCAGTGTTAATACCCAGTACCCCATACCTAGTACCTGTACCAAGTACCTCTGTACCCAGTACCTGTACCTGGTACAGCTGTACCTAGTACCTGTACCCCCAGTATTCCTGTACCCAGCATCTCTGTATCTAGTACCCCTGAACCCCATGTTAATACCCAGTACCCCATACCTAGTACCTGTACCCCCAGTACTCCTGTACCCAGCATCTCTGTATCCAGTACCCCTGTACCCAGTGCTCATACCCAGTACCCCTATTCCTGGTATCTTACCCAGTACCTGTACCCCCAGGACCCCAGTACCCAGTATCTCTGTATCTAGCACCTATACCCAGTACCCTGTACCCAGTGCTTATACCCAGTATCTACCCAGTACCCCTGTACCCAGCATCTCTGTATCCAGTACTCCTGTACCCAGTGCTCATACCCAGTACCCCTATACCCAGTATCTTTACCCAGTACCTATACCCCCAGTACCCCAGTACCCAGTATCTCTGTATCCAGTACTCCTATACCCAGTACCCTGTACCCAGTGTTAATACCCAGTACCCCATACCTAGTATCTGTACCCAGTACCTGTATCCCCAGCACCCCGAACCCAGAATCTCTGTATCCAGTACTCCTGTACCCAGTGCTCATACCCAGTACCCCTATACCCAGTATCTGTACCCACTACCTGAACCCCAGTACTCTAGTACCCAATATCTCTGTATCCAGCACTCCTATACCCAGTACCCTGTACCCAGTGCTTATACCCAGTATCTGTACCCAGTACTTCTGTACCCATTACCTGTACACCCACTACCCCCGAACCCAGTATCTCTGTATCCAGTACTCTTGTACCCCTCTACCCAGTACCTGTACTCCCAGTACCCCAGTACTGTCCCCACACCCCCAGCACCACACCCCCTCCTCTAATCTGCAGATGATAGTGGTGACCCCCGGCGCGAGGCGCCACCTGGCACGGACCCCAGGGAGTACTGCATGTCCGACCGGGACATTGTGGAGGTGGTGCGCACAGAGTACGTGTACACGCGGCCCCCGCCCTGGTCTGACACACTGCCCACCATCCACGTGGTGACGCCCACCTACAGCCGGCCGGTGCAGAAGGCAGAGCTCACTCGCTTGGCCAACACGCTGCTGCACGTGCCCAACCTGCACTGGCTGGTGGTGGAGGACGCGCCACGCCGCACCCCGCTGACGGCACGCCTGCTGCGTGACACCGGCCTCAACTACACACACCTGCACGTGGAGACACCGCGCAACTACAAGCTGCGGGGGGATGCGCGTGACCCGCGCATCCCTCGGGGCACCATGCAGCGCAACCTGGCACTGCGCTGGCTGCGGGAGACCTTCCCACGCAACTCCAGCCAGCCCGGCGTTGTGTACTTCGCAGACGACGACAACACCTACAGCTTGGAGCTCTTCGAGGAGGTGCGGGCTGCAGATGCACGCAGACCAGGGAGGGCGGGGAACCTGGCGAAGGGGGTGGAGGCCTGCATGGGGCTCCCAGACAGACCAACCCACTGCAGCCCTGGCTTCAGGGCACTGTCTGGCGGAGGGCTTCCAGTGGGGGAGGGGAGGCGGGTTCCTCGTCCACCTTCAGTGTCCCCCCCACCCACCGAGTTTGGTAATCAGGACATTGGGGTAGTGGAGGGAGTCATTTCAGACTCTAAATCGGGGAGACAGAGCTTTTGCAGCAAAGAACAAAGCACAGGTCACGTGACAAGGGAAGCACCAGCTGCTTGCAGGGTGGCCTTGCTCACAGCCTTGGCCAGTCCTCCGCAGATGCCCGCCCTAGGCGGCCCAGGTGTCCTTACTCTTCTCCCCTGTAGATGCGCAGCACCAGGAGGGTGTCTGTGTGGCCCGTCGCCTTCGTCGGGGGCCTTCGGTACGAGGCCCCGAGGGTCAACGGGGCAGGGAAGGTGGTCGGCTGGAAGACGGTGTTCGACCCCCACCGGCCATTTGCCATAGACATGGCGGGATTTGCGGTCAACCTGCGGCTCATCCTGCAGCGAAGCCAGGCCTACTTCAAGCTTCGTGGCGTGAAGGGCGGCTACCAGGAGAGCAGCCTGCTGCGCGAGCTTGTCACCCTCAGTGACCTGGAGCCCAAGGCAGCCAACTGCACCAAGGTGGGCCCCCGCTGAGCCTGCAGTGCAGTGCAGGCCAGCTCCTGCCTGCGAGGCCCCTGCTAATCAGGGACCTGCACCGCCAGTGGACAACCAGCCTCCTTCCCAAGTGGGTTGTCTACGGCCCTTCAGGCAGCCACACTAAAGGTGGGCGGGGGACAAGGAGGGGGCCCCCAGGCAGGCAGAGCCTAGGAGTGAATCCCTCCCTCACCACACATCAGCTGGGCTCCACACTTCCATGCCAGACACACCTACATGTGTGCACACACATGCACACATGGGCACATGTGTACACATGAATACACACACATGCATATGCCAGTGCACATGCACCACCATGCACAGACACACAGATACATGTGTTTGCATGCACACTTGCACATCTCCAGTCTGCACAGGTATAGACATGGGCACACATGTATGCATGTATGGGCACACATGCACATGCACACACAAGCACAGGTGTATGCACACATGTGCACATATGCATATGCCCAGTACACATGCACACACAGGCATGAACACACATGCACAGATACATCTTGCTTCCAGTTTGGGCTTCTCCAGTTGGGGACCAGGCTGGCGCTTAGCTGAGCTGGAGGCCCTAGAACTGTCTCCCTCAAGACCCATCAAAAAGCACAGGGAAGGATGAGAAGCAAGAGGAAAACTTGGGACCACTCTGTCTCTTTTTTGTAGCTGCAGATTTTCTGTTTCCAATAGATATTGTGAAGGCAGCCTATGTACAAAGAGTAAGAATGAGGGGGTAGGTAGAAATACAGAACAATGGAGAAAGTCTTGCTGGAACAAGAGCTGGAGGGGAGGGGCAAGGGTAGGAGGGCGAGGTCGGGGCTGGCCCCACGTGGTCTCCTGTCTCTGGACACACAGATCCTGGTCTGGCACACACGGACTGAGAAACCTGTGTTGGTGAATGAGGGGAAGAAAGGTTTCACTGACCCCACGGTGGAGATCTGAGCCCCGGACACAGGTAGGGGGACGTGAGCCAGTGATGCCCTGGGTTCAGTTCAGTTCAGTGGCCCACCCAAGCTTGGGTGCAGAGTAAATCTGCCAAGGCGTTTCCTCCTGGTCTTTAATCATGACAGTCACGGCAAAGGCCCCATGTAGTGGAGGAGGCAGGACTGAAGTCAGCAGGTGGCAAGCTCCCCGCACACCTGGGCCCCCGCACACCTGGGTCTCCGCACACCTGGGCCCCCCAGCTGGGTCCCCACACACCTGGGCCCCCGCAACCTGGGTCCCCACACACCTGGGCCCCCGCACACCTGGTCCCCCCAGCTGGATCTCCACACACCTGGGTCCCCACACACATGGGCCCCCACACACCTGGGTCCCCGCACACCTGGGCCCCCCAGCTGGGTCCCCACACACCTGGGCCCCCGCACACCTGGGCTCCCGCACACCTGGGCCCCCCAGCTGGGTCCCCACACACCTGGGCCCCCGCACACCTGGGCCCCCGCACACGTGGCCCCTTCCTTGCTGCTTGGAGGCCCTCACCTCCCAGCACCGCCTCGTGGCGGCCCATTCTAGCCACAAGCCTGTCCCCATATGAGGCCCTGCTGTGTGGACTCACTCGGGCTCTGTCTGCATGGTTTCCTCCTCAGTTGAGGTGGAAGCGTGGACTCCAGAGCCTGGCCCAGCTCCCAGGCTCCCATTTCCCTCATTTTCTTCATTTGCAAAAGGGGTTGTTGGGGCACCAGAAACTGCCTCTGGCACTGCCCAACTGCTGCTGCTTTTATTTGGTCCTTTGAAATCCTGCACTGAAGTAGCTCACAGGCTCCATCTACGCTTCAGAGGCACAGGAAGGAGACTCAGGAAAGCTGAGTGGGTTGTGCCAGTGGCCAGCTCAGCCAGGCCCTTCCCGGGGGCCTCCCGTGCCCTCAGCAGAGCTGGAGGCTTGCTGTGAGTGGGGCTCTCTTGGTGTTCCGGCCTCGAGTCAGGCCGCAGCTTTTGTGCCTCGCAGGCAATAGCCCAACCCCAGGAGACTGCGAGGCCGAGACCCGGAGCGTGGCAGATCACCTGGCCAAGACGAGACGCACTGGGTCAGACAGAACACACTCCTGGCAGCTCAGGGGTCGGGGGTGGGGGTGCTCCGTGGACCCCAGCTCCCAGCGGCCCCCTCACGCCGCCCCCTCGCCCTCTCCCCCCAGGAGCGCCTTCTGAGACCTGCTCCTGGCCGCCTTCTCTCCCGACGCTGTGTCCCTCCGAGGCGCACTCCTGTGGACTCGCTGCCCCCCTCCCTTCCCTGTGGGGCCTTCAGAGAGCCCGGCCCGAGGCCGGGACGCAGGACGGAGACCCTGAAGCACAGAGCCCCCAGACCTGTTGTGCTCCACCCGCCCGGCAGTCCTGCGGAGTCGACGCCGTGGGCCCCGAACCAGGGGACTGCCCGGCTGGGACGGAGGTGAGAGCCCCGCAGAGCGGCCCTGGCCCCACGGTCACTGGACGGCGGCCCGCAGCCCCTGGCGTCCGGACTGAGCTGCTCCCGGGAGAGGAGGCCGGCCGCCCCCAGCGTGCTTTCCTCACTCCCGCCTGCAGAGCCTGGGGCCGTCTGAGCGCCCGGCAGGCCAGTCCGTACCTCACCTCGCTGAGGGAGCAGAGCCCCTCCAGGCCCTCGCCCCAACACCCGGCCCCGCCCAGCGCGGAAGGAGCCTCCCGCCCACCGCCACGCCTGGGCCGGGGCTGGGGAGGCAGACGCCCCCCACCAGAGCGGCCGGCGGGGCTCAAGGGGCAGGTGGGCCAGGAGCAGAGAGAGGAAGGGCCGGGCGGTGTCCTTCCCGCCCCCGGCCGGGGGGCTTTGGCCTAGCGGAGGGGTCGACAGAAGGGCACGGAGGTGACCTGGACCCGGAGGTGACCTGGACCCGGAGGTGACCTGGACCCGGAAGGCGGGAGACCGAGCCCAGACTGCTGGCAGATCGTGACATAGAGTGGGAAACAAAACCTCACTTCACCCTAATGGGGCGCGCAGTCAGCTGGCTTCCAGTCCCACCGCATCCCCCCCACCACGCAGCCCCCCGCCAGGAGGGAGGCGCTGGTCCCCCTGCCTTCCCCGCGGGCCAGCCCTCTGCCAGCCCCCACTCACGCTCCTGACCGCCGGAAGCACAATATTCCTCCCCTGAGTGGCAGAGGAACGGCCCACGCCCCCTGAACAGGTGTTTACTTTTAACGCTAACAGCCCCCACCCCCCTGAAACTCGCGGAAGGGTCCGAGGGCTGCGGAGAGCCTGCTCCTGGGTATCGGGGGCGGTGGCCTCCGCGCAGCGACCCAGAGTGCCAAACAGGTATCGCGGCCTGTGCTGAAAGGGGTTTACCTCCTCACCGTGGCCACAGGAGCATTCCACGGCCCCCTACCCAGAGCCCTGAGCCGCTTTGCGGGGCACACGGGTGCCTGGGAACCACGGGGGTGACAGCGACCAGCTGAGTGGGTGAATTTGCGCCAGGCATCGCGGCCTCGCTCACCTGGACCAACCCTGGACGCTGGGTCAGCTGGCCTGGCTGGGCCACTGTCTTGGCCAGAAAGACAGGGCTGGTTTTCAGGAAATTGGTGATGAACCACAAAACGGGATCGTCTCTTTTTTTTCTTTTTGGCAGATACACTAGTTCAGTTGTCTTCACCTAACACCCTCTCTTAGCTGCATGTGTATTTATTTACAGTTATAACCCTGGTGGACTGCAGCTTCCGTCTTCGTTGAGAATGAGTTCGTTATGAGCCAGGGTTGGGTCCGTGACCACAGCTTGTTTGCTCCCCCGTCGGGAGTGGGGGTGCGGAGCCCCGAGGACACAGGGGTGTGGGTGGCCCCCACAGCTGCACCGTCGGTCTGTTTTAATTTAACTGTATTTAATTTGTTTCGAAATTAAAAGTCAACTATGGTTTTTAACCGTCTTAACCCTCCTCCGCCACGCCTGCTTTCTCGTTACTTAAGCGTCCAGCCTGTACTGTGAGGTGCCCCCTGGATGCTCCCTGCTCCAGGCGCGGCGTGGGCCCAGAAAGCCTTGGGGTCACCTCCAGAGAGGACGCGAATGCACAAAGCCGGGGTGCTCCAGACACCGTCTGCACCAGGAGGCAGTTGAGGGGCGCGGGGCGGGCACGGGCGCTGTCAGCACAGCCTCCGGGCAGACGCGCAGAGACCGGGATCCAGGGCAGCGGGCTCTGTCAGTGGGAGGCGCTTGGCAGACAGGCCCTGAGGGCAGCTGACGGGGGGCGGGGGTCAGACACGAGAGTGGGGCACACCGGACAGGTGGCCTGGGGACCAGGGTGAATTCGGTGGCCTGAGAGTGGGAGAAGGGGCTGCCAGAGGTTCGGAGCAGAGAGTGGACTTGGTCCAGCTGGGCTTCTAGAAGAATCACTTGCCTCCTGTGCTCCACACGAACAGGACGCAGGCGGGCGGCCGGAGACCACGGTGGGTCAGGAGAGGCGCGGCCCAAGACGAGGGCAGTGGTCAGGTATGGGCGCGCGGCAGGGCGAGCTGCTGGGCCAGGTGCGGGGTTTGAGCGGAGCCAAGGAGAGCTGGACAGAGCGGAGAGCTGCATCCACCAATGTGGACAGACTGCAGGGGTTCACACGGCGAGGACAGTGTGGGGTTGTGTGGCTGCCGCACACTCGCAGTGGAGATGAGCAGCCAGCAGCTGGGGCCCCTGGAGTTCGGACGGGGATGCAACGTTGCAGAGAACAAGAATGAAGGCTGCTGACAAGCCCCGTGCGCACGGCCTCCGCAGCAAGTATGGACAGAGGGGGAGGAAGCCTGGGAGGGCCTGAGATGCCCAGCACTCAGAGGCTGGGTGAGCAGGAGGGCGTGTCCTGCCTAGGTGCTTGGACGGACAAGCTGGGGTCACCGGGCAGGGAAAGGAAGACGGGTGGACCCAGGGACCTCAACCAGGAAGGGCTGCATGTCAGGCGGCACAGAGCAATGCGAAGTCATGCTCACCTGCAGACCCCAGGCGCGCCCAGGTTGACGCGCACCCATGGGCTTCATGGGGCCCAGCCAGGGGCCTTGGCTCCTGGCACTCAGCTTCGAGCTTCCCACGGAACGTGGGGCAGGAAGGGTTGGTGAGTTTGGGCGAGATCAAGATGTGCTCTGGATACCTCCCTGCCGCCCAGCCACGGTCCACAGGTTTGCTTCAGTGAGCTCCACTGTTTGCCTCCAGCAGGACCAGGGGTCCAGCCCACTGTGACCTTCTGCCGGTCACTTGACCTGGTTCTTGGGCCCGGGGGCAGCACACCGGTGCCCCCGGCAGACCTGAGCCATGTCCCACTCCCGGGAGGAACCCGCCCTTAAACTGGGGCTGTTACAGAAGAGGCTCCGTTGGCAGCAGGGGAATCCAGGTCCGTGGGGATGCGCACCCACAGGCACAGCCGCCCCCTGCCCACCAGACGGTCTGCGTCCCCCACCAGCTGGGCTGACTGTGCGCCCTACCCCACAAGCCTGCATCTCAGCTCCCCACACACAGACCAGGTCAGAAAGACACCAACACGCAAGCCTGGGCTCAACTCTGTGGCTTTATTGCAACTCAGGGCAGTGAACCGGAGCCCAGCAGAGGACTCACCCCTGGGCACACCCCAGAGTCTGGATGGACACTCGGGAGGAGGCTGCCTGCCCCGCCCCCCGCCCGCCCCCCAGAGCAGCGGTTTTTCCTCAGCGGATGCTGCCTCACGCAGAGCGCAGAGCGAGGAGGGAACACGTGGACACGGGAGGTAAAGCCAGACTCTTAGACGTGACCCCACGGGGCGCAGCCCCTGCACCGCACTGGCGTCCTCCCAGGATGGCAGAGAGGCCTGGGCAAGTCGTGAACGGACAGCGGGCTCCCCCCACCATCCACGGACAGCAACGCACCCCCCAGCTCAGAGCTGGGGCCACAGGGATGAGGGCACGGCCGGGCCGGGGGCAGAGGAGCAAGTACTCGGGAGCCGGGCCCCACCGGCCCCCACGGTGAACAGTCCCCGGGCCTCCGTCTGGCCCAGGGGAGCGGGGCGGCTCTCCTGGGAGGGCCCCTCGCCCCCTCCTCGCCCCTCCCGGCCTGCAGGGCGAGGCTCAACTGCCGCCGCGGGCGGGCTCCCGAGGGTGGACAGAGCGGGCACAGGCCGGTCAGCGGGGTCGCAGGCCTGGGCGGCTCAGTGCAGGTACTCATGCGGGCCCAGGCTGGGCGTGTCCACGAACTGGATTATCTGTTGCGCCCTCTTCTCCTCAAAGACCATGATCTGGGGGAGACGGCCAGCCTGTCTCGGGCCGGAACGTCGTCCTCTCCCACCCACCCAGGCCCGCCCCCGCCCCCGCGCCCGCCCCGCCCCGCCCCGCCCCGCCCCGCCACGGGAGACGCCGCAGGGCAGGGAGGGCGGGGTTGAGGGGTCCTGGGGGACGAGCCCCCACCTTATTTAAGCCTGTGTCCAGCCAGGCGCCGGGGAGGTAGAGGGTCTCCTGGGGCCCGATGTTCCAGTAACGGCCGAGGTTCTGGCCATTGATGAACACGACCCCCTTCTCCCAGCCCTACGAGAAGCAGGGGGACGCATCAGTCCGCTGAACTCAGAGTGACGGCGGCTCTCAACTTCAGAGGGACGAGCCAGCACTGCCCCCAGCCCACAGCTGCCCCCGCAGGGTGCCCAGCGCATACTGGACCCCCGAGCCGGGATCTGAGAAGCATGCCCGGAGGTCTCCACTAGGGAGGCCACGATGGGGAGCCTGTGGGCACACACGGTGTGCACGCCCCTGGCAGGGGTTGCACACCTCCAGCTTCATGAAGGTGTCGTAGGGGGGGTCCGAGACATACAGTGCCCCCAGGAAGAACGCAGGGAACATGGGCTGCTCCGTGACAGGCTTCCACATGTCTCCAGTGAGCCTGCAGGCAGACGGACAGGGAAGGGCCCTGTGTCCAGAGTCACCACCCGCCCTGTGGCCCGCGACAGTGGTTGGGGAGGGGGTCCCAGGGACCCCGGGGCGGGGCGGGGGCAAGGCCAGGCAGCCTCTTCTGCCCTCAGACAGCACAGGGCAGGACACACCTCCGCAGGAAGCTCCTGTCCATCTCCAGGTTGTAGATTTTGAATTTTTTCAAGGGAGAATCGTTCAGATAGACATTTCCAATGATACCTATGGGAAGAGGAGGTGAGCGAGGAGGGTGGACAGGGGCCCTGTGGGCCTGGCAGAAAGTTCCAGAAAAGACCCCTGGAGAGGCCAGCTCCCCCAGGGGGCTCTTCACACTCGGATTCCTCCCCTGCCATCCCAAAGCCCCGCGAGCCAGCAGGCAGTCTGCCAGCCCCAAGCCTCTGGGCCTTATTGGGGGGCGCCCGGGGTGGAGTGTGCCTCTGGGCCTTCTGGGGGGGCGCCCGGGGTGGAGTGTGCCTCTGGGCCTTCTGGGGGGGCGCCCGGGGTGGCGGCTGTCTCTGGGCCTTCTGAGGGGGCACCCAAGATGGCAGCTGTCTCTGGGCCTTCTGAGGGGGGGCCCGGGGTGGCGTCTGCCTCTGGGCCTTCTGGGGGGCACTCCCTTTGGGGCTGAGGCTTTCAACAGGAAAGGAGACCCGAAGGACGGGTTTGACTGGGACGTCTCAGCCTGCAGCTACTGAGGTCAGTGGGCTGGGGCCCAGATGGAGCAGACCAGTGACCCGGCCAGGGACCCCAGGAGGATGGGGAGCAGGGGCGGCCACGGCTGCAAGCCCCTCAGGGAGGCCCCGGGGCTCTGGGCAGGGGAGGGTCGTGCTAGGACCCGGGTGCCCCAGTCTGACCACATCGCTTCCTCAAGGTGACAGAGGCGACCCTGCCTGGGGAGGGTTCTCGTCCAGCTCCTATCTCAGACTGCATGAAATCCCCCCGGGTTTGATAGATAAGGAAGAGAGAGAAGGTTCAGAAAGCCCCCAGGACTCACCCGCTTCAGGGGCTCCCAGGACTCACCCACCAGGGGGACCCAAGGACTCACCCCTCCAGGGGCTCCCAGACTCACCCCCTCCAGGGGGACCCCAGAACTCACCCCCTCCAGGGGGACCCAGGACTCACCCCCACCAGGGCCTCCAGGAACCCCCGTCCACCCGGGAGCCCCCCCGGCGCAGCGCCGTGCCCGTAGTGCCCCTGTGGGGAGGGCTGGGCGGGAGGCACCAGGACCCACCTTTGCGTTGCTGGTCGATACTGTCCCCGTAGTTGACCCTCCCACAGTTCTCCACCAGGATCCTCAGCGTCGTGAACCCCTGTGGGCAGCACGGGGCGCCCTGAGGAAGCCCCAGCCGCCCCTTGGGGTTTCTCGTGGGCGACCCAGCTCTCCCTAAACGCTGAGCACGGGACTGGGTCCCAGACCACAGAGCCACTCCGGCAGCTCTGCGCCTACACCCAGTCCCGCCCCTTCCGGCCCCGCCCCTGGGCGAACCTGGACCATGGGGATGATAATCGTCGTCGTCTTGTAGTCGAGGATCCCCAGGAAGAACGTGTTCAGGAACACCTGCCCGAGGAGCAGACACAGCCCACAGCGTCGGCGGGGGCCTGGGGGTCCCAGCGCGGGGGCGGGGAGGACATGGAGCCGCGGCGCTGGGACATCTCCACACGTGGGAGCATCTGGGTGCGGGGTCGTCCCTACCTGTCCGCGGTCACGCACAACGGCGCTGAGGACGCCGGACGAGGTGATGGTGGTCTCATAGAGCGTGTACCCGAAGGACTGCCCGCTGCCCCCGTTGATCGGGAGGTTCTCCATGTTGACCGGGTGCTCCGAGGTGACTGGCTGCATGGACAGGAGACAGGGGCGAGGCTGACTGACAGGGGCCACCTCGCCTCGGGCGACCCCATGGGGTCAGCACGCGGGGCGCAGTGAGGATGACCACTTTATATTTGCTATCACATGGGCAAGCACCACAGTCCTGTCCGATTCTTCATCAGGGTCAGGGGACAGGGACAGGAGGAATCTGAGCAGTGGGGCCTGGGGCTCGGGGTGGACCCTGCCTCGGCCCCCTCGCTCCTCCGTGCTCCTCCTCTGGCTCCCTGCCTCCCTCCCCCCTCCTCCGTGCTCCTCCTCTGGCTCCCTGCCTCCCTCCCCCCTCCACCCTCCTCCTCCTCTGGCTCCCTGCATCCCTCCCCCCTCCTCCGTGCTCCTCCTCTGGCTCCCTGCCTCCCTCCTGCCTCCTCCCCGTGTCTGCCTGTCCTCTGCACTCTGAGCTCTAAGGCTGGGGTGGAGTCCGCCTCGGCCTCCCCCCTCCTCCGTGCTCCTCCTCTGGCTCCCTGCCTCCCTCCATCCTCCTCCTCCCCCTGTCTGCCTGTCCTCTGCACTCAGCTGAGGCCAGGGTGGAGCCCCGTGGAGACTGGTTCTCTTCGTCCTCCAGCTCAGCAGCTCCAGGAAGCTCAGGGTGCCTGTGGGCCCAGCTGCAGCCCGCAGTCCGTGGCGGGGGACGAGGCCCTGAGCCCAGGGCCCGGCTCGCACTCACCAGCTCCAGGAGGTTCAGGGCGTCCCACAGGGACACGTAGAAGGCTGGTGTCACCGGGTCATACGCCGTCTTGGGAAGAAGGGCAGGCGGGACGGGGAGAGGGGCCCCTGCACCACAAGCAGACAGCGGGGCGTCCCCAAAGGACCCCGACAGTCACTGCGCCCCCAGCCACCGCCAGCCCCAGCTCCTGCCCACACCCAGCAGAACACACCACTGCCTGCCACACAGAGAACCCTCCAGGAAGATGGGGGGTTGGACAGGGGCTTGCTTCTCACATCCTTCGAAATAAGACACCTGTGAGGAGGTGAAGCTGGCAAGACGCCTACTCGGATGAGAACAGTCGCTCTGACTTCCCTATCCTTTCTAGGAAGTTCCTGCACAGGGAGGTGGGGTGGGGAGGAGGGGGATGGGGAGGAGGGAGAGGCTGGTGGGAGGAGGGGAGGAAGGAAGGTGGGGGAGGGGGAGGAGGGGGAGGGAGGTGGGGGATGGGGAAGATGGTGGGGAGGGAGGGGGACGGGGAAGAGGGGGAGGATGGTGGGAAGAGGGGGAAGACAGGGGAAGAGGGGGAGGACGATGGAGGAGGGGGAGGACAGAGGGAGGAGGGGAGGACGATGGGGGGAGAACAGGTAGGAGCGGAGGACGATAGGGAGGGGGAGGACGGGGAGGATGATGGGGGAGGGGGGAGGACAGGGAGGAGGGGAGGACGATGGGGGAGAGGGAGAATGATGGGGAGGGGGAGAACAGGGGGAGGATGGTGCAGGGGAGGGAGGTGTAAGAGGATGGGGAAGGGGAGGAAGCCCATTTTCTGAGGTCTCAGAGCAGCGGTCAGCGTGCAGGTACCTGACATGGAGCCAAAGAATTCCCGGAGCCTTGTGTACTTGGCCGTGTAGTCCCCAGCCTCTGTCAGCACCGCGTCGTAGTCTGCAAGATACCAGACAGGCCACGGGCGTCAGGCCCCAGGACAACGTCCCGGGAGGAGGCAGGCTCAGCAGTGGGCTCCTCGCCCCAGCAACACCGCAGGCAAGACACTTGACGTGAGCCAGCTATCAGTCAGAATGCCACACACACTGAACACATGAACGGCCCCAAAGTGTCCAGACCCCACTTGGCAGGTGGGGGTCCAGGGTCACCCCATCTCTAGGCCCTAAGGAGGGAGAGGGGCTACCCCCCCAAAGGCCACCCCTCCTGGCCTGGGCCCCACTTCCTTCCCTAGCCAACTGATCTCCTACACCCTGGAAGCTTCGGTGATGGTCTGGACGAAACCTCACCTTCACGTGGGAGGTGCCAGCCGCTGTCCCCGAGGGACGCCCCTGAAGTGCCCGGGAGTGGTGTGGGTGCCCTGTCGGGGATACGAACCGTAGCTGGTGACATCGGGCTTGTAGTCCTGGAAGTGCATGGCTCCTCCGATGAAGCCGAAGTTGGTGCCCCCGTGGAACATGTACAGGTTGATGGACGAGCCGGCTTCGACGATGGCTGACACTGTGTTCAAGACCTCTGCGGGGAGGGGCATCTCATGGCCAAGTGGTCACGAGACCTGAGCCCCCAGGAGGCCCCTCACCGCTCTGGCCCGTGGCTTCCCTGAACCCAGCCACAGTCAGTGGCTGGAGGCCCCGAGTCCAAAGCCCAGCTTTCAGCCGCTTTCAGCGGCTTTCAGTTCCCAGACGAGTCTGCCTGCGGCAAGGCTGCGGCCAGAGCCGCGCCTCCCGCCCCCACTCCCCCCCAGGGGACTTCACCTGGTGCTCTCTGAGGGGACCTGATTAGAAGCACGGTCCGACTGCCCCCTGGCCCACCCAGGCTGGAGAACGAGCCCGCCACACGCACAGAATCAGTGGAGGAGTAACATGCACGGTTAATGAACATCACATACAGTTTTAAACCCCTGCACTGGCTGAAGGAAAAGAGCTGAACAAAGCGCTGCTGCACATCTGCCTCTTTGTGACCCATGAACTTCAGCCCACCAGGCTCCTCTGTCCCTGGGATTCTCCAGGCAAGAGCACCGGAGAGGGTCGCCATTTCCTCCCTCCAGGGGATTTTCTGGATACAGCGAATGAACTCACGTCTCCTGCACTGCAGGCAGATTCTTTACCACTGAGCCACAGGGGAGCCCCTATCAGACAGCAAATGTTACCAATATTGATTAATAACAGTGGCCATTGATGAATCTGGGGGGAATGGACATCTTTGAGCTTCCTGGAGAAGCTCACGCCCAGGTGAAGAAAGCAGTGCTAGCTGGGGATTCACCCCAGGGAAATGCCAGGTGCGCCCGGCTGACGTGCAGGGAGGCTGGCTGCAACTCTGTCTGTGAGCACAGACTCTGGGCCTCCTGTGTTCCTGGCAGGTTCTTTGCTGAGCCACCAGCGAAGCCCAGAGGCACCCAGGTCTTCAAAACGAGAGGTCATGGAGGAGGGGGGTGTCTCTGCATCCTCAAGAGCAGTGGGGGCGTCCACATCGCACAGCGCAGGAAGCTGGGCTTCTGGGCCTCTCACATCTGCCCGCACCCACCCACACCTCCACCTGCCCACACTCGCCCACACCTGCTCACACCTCCACCTGCATTCAGAGTGCAGACAGAGAATGCCTGCACTACACATGGAAGCATCTGCTCTGGACTCCGGGTTTTTATCTCCTCTTTACACACGTCCTTTGTTGGCTGGATAGCAGCGACGGGCATGCCATTAGAAAGGCCGCAAAGGAGCATCTGACCGCTGCTCCCCCTGTTGAGACAGAGGGCTCTGGACCCTCTCAGGAGCTGCCCGTGCGCGCAGACGCCCAGAGCGCTGCCCCGCAGCCAGTTCACACCATCGGCAGCCCCTCTGGAGCTCAGTCCCGCGTCGGAGGCCAGGACTCGGACAAGGCCTGCACGGGGTCCCGCCGAGCACCCACCTGAGGAGTCCAGAATGAAGTGGGGGCCGCCCCACGAGTCGAACCAGCCCGTCCAGTACTCCATCACCATCTTGGGCCGAGTGCCCTGTGCGCCAGAGGGAGGAGTCAGCTGGCGCCTCTGCCCGCCCAGCCCTGCCCCCGCCACAGGCTGGCCTTCGAGGGAGCTGCCCCAGCTCCCGGCCCCCTGCGCCTTCCTCCCTCCCGCAGGGGGCGCTCCTGCGGCTGCCGGCCTGGCGGTCAGCGTCCCCTGCGCACAGAGCGTCCCCGTCCCATCCGGGGACCGCAGAGTCACGGTCCATTGAGAAGGTCCCGACCGCGCCACGGGAAAGGCCATGGGCTCGGTTTCCTCCGGGCTGCCCACCTCGCTAGGGGACACTCGTACCACGTCTGGGTCACTAACGAGGGTCGCTAGTCACACAGGTCAGCAGTCTCCCCTGCGGGAAGGGGCCCCAGGCTGAGGGCCAGGGCTGGACTGTCCGCCGACAGCCCAGGTCACCGTGGCTCAGGCTGGCTTAGCACCAACCAACTGTCCTGCGTGCCCTGACCTGACTGCCGGGGGCCTCTGTCCTGGAATCTGTGTCCTGAACTGGAGAACAGATGAACAGCAGCCAGTCACACAGCTACTGGGACAGTCACACGAGACGAGGCAGCTGGCGCCGTCAGCACACACGGCCCAGCCCTGGGAGGCGCCCGGAGATGCCTGCATCCACCCTCCAGTCACTGGGCAGGGATTGGGGCCGGTGGGGCTCATGTGAAACCCCTGAGCACCAGACCGGGCCTCCAATCTGAACCGGGCTGGGTCCACGGCCCCTTTCTGGAGGAAAACACGTGGCTGAGCAGTGCGCGAAAGGCCGCTGGCGGCGGGTGCGGCGGGCAGGCTGGCCGGCGCGGGCCACTTCTCCAGGCGTGAGTCCACAGGAGCCCGTGGGGAGCACGCCTGTCCTGGGTGCTCCCCAAACATCACCCACTTGACCCTCAAACGTCCCTACGAGTCGGTTCCAGCACAACCTCCGCTTCCCAGAAGAGGGACGAGAAGCTGAGGGTCACAGAACCGTCTTTGTCCTGGGCGACCTTGAGGGCAACTGTGTACCTCCCAGGACTCTCCCCAGGTGGGTCTCAGTGTCCCTGAGGGCAGAGGCCCTGTGGCCTCAGACCCCTGCCAGCAGGCGTGGCACAGGCTGTGGGACGGCGGGCGGGCGGGGCTCGCGCCCCCCTCCGCACTTCCCTCCCCCCGCCCCCATCCTGCCTCCTCCCTGCCCCTCCCTCCAAACAGAAGCGCGGGGCGGGGCCGGCCCTGGGGACTTCCCACTGCCCCGAGCCTCCAGCGGCTGAGCCTCTGGACCCCACCACTGCCTTTCGATAGCAGCGGCTGGGATGCGGCTGCCCCAGCACCCCACGGCGTCTTCTCTGGGTCGGGGGCGAGCCCTTCAGCAGCCCCGCCAGCGCGGGTCTCAGAGAGGACACCCGCCGGCCCGCACGTAAGGCAGGCGAGGGCGGCCTTGAAGCCTTATCTCCCGTGAGGCTCACTCCGCGCCGGCCTGACGGGCCGTGCCCCGCGCCAGCTGAAGACAACAGACAACAGCCTTTCTGGGCCCTGAGAGTCCGGGCGGGTCAAGGCCAGACCCAGGCAGGGAAGCTTCTTCCTCACACGGAGCACACTGGGGGCTCGCTGAGTCCACGGAACTCTCAAGTTCCAGGACTTCAGAAAGGCCCCCTTTCTCGTGGAGAGGCAGAAACCCACCTCCACACACCTGCCTGCACCCGGCTCCCCTCCCCAGGGGCAGGCAGCACGGGGCGGGATGGGCCGTGCAAGGGAAAGGGGGTAGAGCTGAAGGCCGAGCCCCGTGGTCCCCCGCCCACTGAAGCCCCTGACACTGACCCAGGCTGAGTGTGCACGCACCTGTGCGCCCAGCAGAATGGCGGTGAGCTGCCGCAGCTCCGACTGTGACTGGAGGTTGATGGTGGCCAGCACTGCGGGCAGGAAGGAGACAGGGGACAGAGATCATCCCCTCGCCTGGAGGACTGAACGCCCCTGACGTCTCAGCTCACCAGCAGGTAGACAAATCCTGACACCGTCTCCCATCGTCAACCCAAGAGTTTAGTTCCTCTATCGCCAGGAGACTTTCCTGGTTCATCCTGGAAACTCCACGACTCAGCACGGGCCTTACAGAGATCCACTCTCAAAGCAGCTGTGTTTGATTTACATAATTTTCACAACCTGAGCGTGCGTTTCCATTAATTCCTCCTTCACAGGAGCCTGCAGTCTGACATTCACTTTGCATCTCCAGCCTCCAGCACTGGGTGACCATCTAAGAAGACTCCCCTTTTACACCTTGGATGAAGGTTATTATTCTGATCCATCCCCAGCGATAGGCCCTGTGGCTTTCCACTAGGGAAAAGCATGCCCGAGAAAAATGTGCTATGTTTGGCCCACAGGCATGGACGCAGAATTTGGCTCCGAGGCTCTTGCCTGCTTCCTGTCCCTGGACAGAGGAGCTCACGTGCCCTGGCCTGAGCTCTGCTGTGCCCAGGAAGGTGGATGCTCACTGGGTGGTCTCCTGTGGAACATAAGCCGTGATCATGGGACTTCCCTGGAGGTCTGGTGGGTAAGACTGCGTGTCCCCTGCAGAGGCACAGTTTCCATCCCTGGTTGGGGAAGGAAGGTCCCAGGGGCCACGTGGTGAGTAAACAAAAACCAAAACAGAGATCTTGACAACACTGGAGAGCAACTGAACTCTAATAAAAAATTAATTTTTTAAAAAGCAAACATCAGCTGGGACCCCGGGAGGCCCACTTGGTATGGAGAAGACCCCACATCTGGACTCTCCTCACCTAAAGTGAAGAGCCAGGCCGACAGGGGGCCAGTCTGAACCGGCCCAGAAACCTCGGAGCCACAGGTCAAACCAGCCTGCACCTTCTCCATCCCCACCCCCCACCCCCCACCCCCATCCAGAGCCCAGAGAATAGCATGGAGGGTGAGGACGAAGAGGGCATGGTTCAGGGAAACCTGAGGAGCCTGGAAAGGGGCCCGGGGCGGGGGAGGGGGGGGTCATAACCAGCCTGTGACAGCAGAGGTGATGACCCACCGAGGCCCAGGGGCCCCCTCCAGCTACCTCTCCCCCCACCCCGTGCCTGGCCCCCTAGGAAAGCCGAGCCCCAGCAGTCTGGGCACTTGCAGAAGAGGAAGCCCGGAAGATGGCTCCTGCACCTTCCTGCCCCCAGATTCTCATCGTGTTGGCCCAGAGAGTTCTCTCCAGAGTCACTTAATCCTGTGAAAGTCAACCCCAACACCCACACCTGGTTCCCCTGATTGGAACAGCCGCCTCAGTCCGGTCACCCCACAGGGAGGGGCACTGGTCACAGCCACTGGCAAGCAGGCCATCAGAAAAGAAACGCATTCAAGGAAAACGCGGTGCAGGAAATACAAGGTTGAGGAGAAAGTGGTTGAGGAAACTGCTCAGAAAGTAGAAGGAAAAGGAGAAGAGAGACAGCTGGAGAGCCACACGGCGCAGAGGGTGAACACATGCCTTGGACCCACCGGGGATGGAACCAGAGAAGGGGTGGCACCGAACAGCAGGGAGCAGCCGCCTCCAGGACTGCTCTGTCCAAATGACAGCGCGCCCAGGAGGGCGGGCTCCGCAGAAACACAGGGCCCGAGTCACAGCAGCACGTGGAGAAAATGATGGACAACACTTCAAAGTCCCCGGACCCGGTCTCCAGGGGACCTGGGCCACCATCGGGATGGGGACACAGTGAGGGGCTAGCACCATCGGACTGGATCAGATTCCGACAGGCACAGGCGTCTTAAAACACCCTGACGGGGTTTGGAAGCTGCTCAATGTCAAGAGACAGGGAAGAAAAGGGACAGAAAAAAATTTGAAAGTAAAGGAAAACCAATGGGTTACATTGGAAGCGAGCTGGCCACAAGCACCGTCCAGAACGCCGATGGGCTGCCCGGCCGGCGTGAGGACCTTTACTCGGGCCCAGAACATTGTGCCCGTCAAGACAGAGGTGGGGGCACAGCTGCACCCAGGAAAGCCGCGGGGTCAGGGCGGCAGGAGAGGGGGCTTGACATCCACACTGCAGGGCTCTCTGTGCAGGTTATTTAGAATCACGGAGGCAGAGTCGAGAGGAAAGGTAAACAGCTCAAAGTGGGCACCTCAGGGCAAGGGCCGCGGAGGCTGCACCGCGTGTTTTTTTCATTGTTTTGTTTTTGAGTTTTTGTCGCTCCACAATTTCGCTGGTGTCTGCTGCACAACAGCGTGGATCAGCTGTGGGTATACACATGCCCCACCCTCTGGGCCTCCCGCCGCCGCCCACCCACCCCTAGTTCATCACCGAGCACCCAGAAGAGCTCTGTGCTGCACGGAGGTTCCCGCTCACTGCCTATTCACACGCGCTTCTGTATAAACGTCAAGGATAGCCTCTCAGTTCACAAGCATTTCCAAGATTTCTTTCACACCTGGTGAAAGTCTAAATCATGTTTGCTGCTGCTGCTGCTGCTGCTGCTAAGTCGCCTCAGTCGTGTCCGACTCTGTGTGACCCCATAGACGTCTGCCCACCAGGCTCCCCCGTCCCTGGGATTTACCAGGCAAGAACACTGGAGTGGGTTGCCATCTCCTTCTCCAATGCATGAAGGTGAAAAGTGAAAGTGAAGTCACTGAGTCGAGTCCGACTCTTCGCGACCCCATGGACTGCAGCCTACCAGGCTCCTCCGTCCAAGGTATTTTCCAGGCAAGAGTACTAGAGTGGGGTGCCAATCACGTTTAACTAACTGAAAAAATCCTTCCGAGCAGCAGGGGCGGGCCAGGGGCGGGGCCGTGGTGGAGGGGCGGGGCCGGGCCGGGGTCCGTGGTGGAGGGGCGGGGCCCGCGGCGAAGGGGAGGGGCCACGGTAGAGGGGCGGGGGACGGGGCGTGGCCCGCGGTGGAGGGGCGGGGCCGGGCCGGGGTCCGTGGTGGAGGGGCGGGGCCCGCGGCGAAGGGGAGGGGGGCCACGGTAGAGGGGCGGGGGACGGGGCGTGGCCCGCGGTGGAGGGGCGGGGCCGGGCCGGGGTCCGTGGTGGAGGGGCGGGGCCCGCGGCGAAGGGGAGGGGGGCCACGGTAGAGGGGCGGTGCCGGGGGCGGGGCCCGCGGTGGAGGGGCGGGGCCGTCAGAGGCCCCGGAGAGCCCGCACCCACCGCTCGAGGCTCCTCTGCGGTCCCCGCGGCTGAAGCGCGCTCCGGGGCCCTGCCCCGACCCGACGGGACACAGCGCCACCGTGTGGGCCCCTCGGGAGGCGCGTCGGGAGGGGCGGACCGAGAGGAGCTGCCCGGAGCTGCCCGCCCGGGTGCCAGTGAGAGAAGAGGCCCACTGTACCGGGTCGGAGGCTGCGGGCACCGCACGTGTCACGAGGGGCCACTGCGGCCTTGCAAAGGGCAGCGTCGGGGAGAGAGGACCATGGCCCTCGGGCGAGCAGAGGCGCTGGGAGCCGTGAGCGTGGACGCGAGGAGCGCAGCGCCAGCAGAGACTGCCGCCCAGAGGTGATAGGCCGGGCTCCCAGGAGGGCGCGGCGCAGGGAGACGGGGCGGAATCCTCTGCTCCAGTGGGAGCGGCTGGCGGGAACCCAGCACCACGAGAGGAGGTGCCCACAGGGCCTGAGGACCGAGCTGTGAGCCAGCTGTCCCTGCCGGACACCAGCCGGTGGTCTGCCTGGCCTCTCTGTGGACCCTGCTGGACGCCCACCCTGCTGTCCCGTGTCCTGCCACCCACGGGGCCCTGGGTGTCCCCGATGCTCCACCAGTCGGCCCCTCCAGCCCGGAGCACACAAGAGCTCAGGTCAGGGCGACACCGCCCCCCGACCTCCCCATGGCCTCCTGGCAGGTACCTCCGTCCACAATGCCATTCTTCAGGCCGTCCTGGTTGTCTGAGGTCAGAAGCAGCTCCACGATCCCCCGGTCCTGCAGGGCCTGCGACGGGGCCAGACAACAGGCTGTCCTTCCTCACACCTCCCACCATGTCACACTCTGACCTCCGCCTAGAGCAGGCCCTGGGGCCCAGAGAAATGAGCGTCCCAGGAGCCCAGCCTCCCCTGGGCTTCAGGACCAGGCAAGCATCCCTTTATGCACCCCATCCCAGACACCAGGGTCACCACCGGATAGGAGAGACAGCAGGGCAGCTTCCTTCCCTGCAGCTGGGGGACTCGGGAAGCCTGGCCCAGCCTCACCAGCACAGGAGAACAGGCATCGTGGCTCTGGCCCAGGGGGTCTCAAGGAGGCGCTGTGGCAGAAGACCCTGCTGGCCTGAGCCTGCCCCAGACAAGGACTGAGCTCTCATCTGGCTTCAAGGACACCACCCTCCCCGAGGCAGCCTGGCCCCTCTGCGGAGGAGGAGGGGACACTGGATGAGACCCTCCAAGCGTCTGCAGGGACTGGAGGAGTCCCCAGATAGACACGACTCTGCCTGTGACAGCAGGGGTGTCGCCCAGGACACCAGGGGCCGGAGCAGCTCTCATCAGATCAGTTGGAGGCACTGAGGCTTTCTCGACGCACACGGGGGCCGACCCTCCCAAGTACAAAGCGCTGGTGCCAGTGATGTCATCAGTGTCCTGTGTGCTGACTGTTCACTGGATGCTAGAGCAACACTGAGCCTGCGACTTGACTACACATACAGTTCGGACAGGCAGAGCCTCTCATCAATCCCAATTCACAGAAGAGAGAGTAGGGGCTTAGAAAAATGGGTGCATCTGCTCCAGGTCTCAGCTGCCGAGTGGGAGGAGCCAGTTCTGAGCAGCTGTTGTTCAGTCACTCGTCGCAGCCGAGGCTTTGCAGCCCCGTGGACTGCAGCACACCTGTTCTTTTCAGTGTCGCTCTGGCCCTGCCCCTGCCTGCTCTGCCGCACACTTGGCCAGGGACTCCAGCCACCTGCTCGCTGGAATCGGATGTCTGAGCTCCGCCCCAGAGGCCCTTGGTTAGCGGATGGCATGTGGCCTGGGCCCAGTGAGTTTAAACAGTCCCCAGAGGGAGCCGACACGCGGCCAGAGGAGGGGCCGCCGCTTTGAGTGCTGGAGTCAGATCAGCAGCCGCCACCACCAGGAAGGCCTCCAGCCGTGCCCTCAGTCAAGGCGGTTCTGTTGCTCTCAACCCCCGCAGCACCATAAGTACTGAAATCCGTTAAACTCAGTCATGGAGGGCACAAGTGAAGCCCTCGTTGCAATCAAGGTGTGAGAGGGGATCTACCGCTCGGTAACGGGTGCTGGGCGACAGGCCCGTCCACCGCAGCAGAGCCCACAGAGGGAGGCGCAGAGGCGAGCTGAGCTGACTCTCACCTTCTTGATGTAAGGCATGTAGGCGGGGTCTCTGTTGTAGGACCCATACTCATTCTCCACCTGCACAGCGATGACGGGTCCTCCATGCTTGTACTGAGAAGACAAGAGAGCAGTCAGCAGCTGAGGCTGTAGTGGGGACCGTGCCAGCCAATGTCACCACGCTTAGCACCAGTGACAGCAGAACATCCCTTCAGAAGTTCAAGCCTCAAAAGGTCTGATACACAGTGGAGTGACATCAGTGAGACAGGGAGAAGGAAGCTCCAGGCCTTTGTCCCCCTAGGGAGACAACAGGAAAACAACTGTACCACTGACTAAAGTAACTTCATAGGATCTCTGGAAACAAGCCAAATGTTTAAGCAAACAAGGGAACATCCAATCAAGAAAAAGACATTCAAAATGGTGGCACATTCCATGATTTTGCTCACCTGTGTCCCACCCACTCCCTGGAGTAGCAATGTGCAGTCAGAAGGACACAGCTTGAGTTCCAGCCCCTCCGTCAGGACAGAAGGGCTATTTGTGGGCTCCCCAGAGAACTAGTTTCTGTCTCATCTGACTTGGAGATCAGACAAAAAATATTGGTATGGTTTGGACCTCATGCTGGAAGCTGCAAAAGGCAGCAATGGGTCACAGCCTGTAAACATTTCAGGGGGACTACAGACCCATGGATGCCCGGGAGCAAGGGATTACAGGCAGAGGAATATGATAGAATATCTAAGACCATAAGAAGAATCCAGGGTGAGACTCTTGGAGAAATCAACATGTAAAAGCAGCTAGGGGAATTTTTTTTTTTTTTTGAAAAAGCACACACACAAACCAGACAGGATACATACCAAGAAAATACCTGAGAGGATCTCAGACCTGCATCCCAGGCTGATCTCAAGGCTCAGGAGCCCACTAAATACTAAAGGTCTTTCCAGAAGACTGCAAACACTGAGAGAGGGGACTGTCTTTATAATTGCCTAACTTTAACCCTCCAAAATAAGGCATATAAAGAAACAGGAAAATGTAACTCATTCAAAGAACAAAATAAATCTCTAGAAACAGTGTCTAAACGAACTAGAAATGACCTCTAAAGAAACACACACACTGCACTTAGAAGACAAAGAATTTTAAAACAACTGTCATAAATATGATCAAAGAGCTAAAGAAAAACATGGACAGAAATCAAGGAAAGGACATATGGACAAAGTGAGAATACTAATAAAGAGACAGAAATGATTTCAAAAAGAACCAAACAGAAATTCTGGAGCTGAAAAGTACATTATCTAAACAGAAAAATTCACCATAGGAGTTCAACCGCATATTCAAACAGGCAGAAGAAAGAGTGTGCAAACTTGATGACAGGTCATTTTGAATTATTGAGTCTGAGAAGCAAAAAGAAAAAAGAATAAAGACAAGTGAACAGATCCTAAGAGACTTTATGCAGTAAACAGACAAATACACTCACTATAGGAAGTCCAAAAGGAGAAGAAAGGGGCAGAGATCAAGCTTCAGTGAAATCCAAGTAACATTAAACCAGAGACCCACACCAATACATATTATCAAACTGTCAGAAGACAGAGATTCTTGAAAGGATCAAAAGAAACACAACTTGACATGTACAAAGGATTCCCAACCTTGCAGAACATTTGGTCCAAAGCATCCACAAGACATTCAGTCCATAAGACATTTGGTTCATATGACATTCAGTTCATGCCCAAAGGTCCTTGAAATCTAGTTTTACCCAAAATGTCCATGAGCCTATTTGCCCCACACTAAATAGCTTGGATAAGACCAAACATCCAAGACCTTTTAGTGTGGACTGAATGTCTGCTAACCATCCCCAGTGAGATTACTAGTGGATATCTCATCAGAAATTTTGCAGGACAGAGGCAGTAGGATACTATATTCAAAGTACTGAAGGAAAAAAACTAGCAAGTGAGATTTCTCTATCTGGCAAAACTGTCCTTCAAAAATAATGGAGAAATTAAGGCATTGTCAGACAAATAAAAACTGAAAGAATATATTACCACTAGACTTGTCTTATAGGAAATGCTACACAGAGTCCCTCAAGTTGAAATGAAAGGATGCTAGATGAAAACTCAAAGCCAGCTGAGAATATAAACCTCCCTGGGGAAAAAAAAAAAAACTTCCCTGGGAAAGGTAAATATGTGAAAAAATGTAAACGGTATTATTATAATTTTAGTTTGTAACTCCATTTCTTATTCTTTACAGGATTTAAAAGACAAGTATATAAAAATAATTATGGGTCTATATTAATTGGTACACAATATATAAAAATACAATTTGTGATAGCAATAATATAAAGGGGATGGAGCTGTAAAAAAGGAGTTTTTGTATGTGATTGAAGTATTAATATAAAATAGAATGTCATAACTTTAGGACAGTGTATGTAATCTCCATGGTAACCAAAATATCTGTAGAATATACACAAAAGGAAATAAAAAGAATCAAAACTTGTCACTTAAAAAATTCAACTAGTAAAATCTGCTGCAAAAAAAAAAATCAACTAAATACAAAGGAAGGCTGTAATGAAGGAAATAAGGGAGAAGAAAGCTATAAGACATACAGTAAACAAATAACAAAACAACAAAAGTAAGTGCATCCCTATATTTAAATATAAATGGATTAAACTCCCCAACCAAAAGACAGATTTTCAGAATGCATAAAAAAGCAATACCTAACTATAGGCTGTCTACAAGACTCTCATGTTAGATCTATGGACCTACATGGGTTGAAAGACAAAGTATGGAAAAAGATATTCTGTGTGAATAGTAACCAAAAGAGACCAGAGTGTGACTATAGTAAAAAACAAACTGGACTTTGAGTCATAAATTGTTAGAAGGGAAAAGAAAGACATTATTTAATGTACACAGGTGTATAGATATTCATATTTGCACAACAATAAAAGGGCCAGTTTAGAAGATACAACATAAACATATGTGCACCAAACACCAGAGCGCCAAAGTGAATACTGGCAGAATTGCAAGGGAGAAATGCAACTCTATAAAAACAGTAGAAGACTTCAGTACTCCATTTTCAATAGAATAACCAGACAGAAGACCAGGAAGGACACAGAAGACTTGAACAACACTATAGACAAGTTAGACCTGACAAGTGTATACAGAACACTCCACCCAACAACAGCACAACACACATTTTTCTCAAATGCACATGGATCACTCTCCAGGATAAACCATATGTTAGGCCATAAAGCAAGTTTTAATAAAATTTAAGGTTGAAATCATATAAAGTATCATTTCCAATTACAGAAAAGATGAAAGTAGAACCCAACAACAAAAAGGAAACTGGAAAATTCACAAGACTGTGAATAAACAATCAGTGACTCGAAGAAATCTCAGGAAACCTAGAGAATATCTTGAAACAAAATAAAAACACAACATACAAACTTGTGGGATACAATGAAAGCACTATAAACACTTAAAAAAAGAAGAAAGATCTCAAGTCAACAACCTACCTTTTCACCTTAAGCAACTGGAAAAGAAGAAACTAAACTCAAAGGTAACAGAGGGAAGGAAATAAGAAATATGAAAGCAGGGGAAATAGAAGATTAGAAAAACAATAGGGAAAAATCAACCAATCTTTTCTTGATTCTCTGAAAAGATTAACAAAACTGACAAACCTCTAGTTAAAGTAAGAAAAGACTCAACTAGAAACACACAACATGCCAAGACTGAATTGTGAAAAAAGAAACATCTGGACAGATTTATAACTAGTGAGGAAAGTGACAAAAATCTTTCTCAAATTCTAAACATTTTGAAAAAAGGGAACACTTCCAAATTTACTCTATGAGGCCAGTATTACCAAAGCCAGAAAAAGAGTTAACAGGTAAAGAGAACTACAGACCAATATCCCTCATGAATATTGATGCAAAAATCTTAAGCATAATACTAAAAAAAACAAATTCAGCAGCATACTAAAAAGATTATACACCATGAAAATGTGGGGTTTATTCTTGAATATAAGGATGGTTCAATAAAATCAATGTTATACACCACATTAATGAAATGAAGGTTAAAAAAAACATGATTATCTCAAATGATGTTGTAAAAAGGCATTTCAAAAATTCAGCATGATTTCATAATAAAAATACTCAACAAATTACTAATATAAGGAAACTATCTCACCTTTAAAAAGGCTATATGTGAATAGCCCACAGCCAGCCTCATACTCACTGAAAGCTTTTCCTTTGAGATTAAGACTGAGACAAGATTCCTGCTTTTACCACTTCTATTCAACAAGGTATAGAGAGTGTTAGCTAGAGTAATTAGGAAAAAAAGAATGAAATAAGTCATCCAAGTTGGAAAGGAAGATGCAAAATTATCTCTTGTTTGCAGACAATATGATCTTATGAGTAGAAAACCGTGAAGATTATATACACAAACAAACCTGTTAGTTCTAATAAACAAATACAGCAAATCCGCAGGATACAAAAACCAATGCACAAAGAATTCAATGGTTTCTATACACTATCAGTGAAAAATTCTACATACAATAGCATCATAAAGATTTAAATATTTAGGAATAAATTTAATCAAGGAGGCAAAATACTTATACATTGAAACCTACAAAATGTTGCCAGAAGAAAGAAGACACCAATAAATGGAAAGGTATCCTGTGTTCATAGACTGAAAGATTTAATATTATTAAGATGTCATTACTACTCAAAGCAATCTACAAAGTCAATGTAATCCTTGTCAAAACACCAGTGTTTTTAAACAAGCAGAAAAAGGCATCGTAAAATCCACATGGAATCTCAAGAGACTCTGAATATCGAAAACAATGCTGGAAAAAAAGAACAAAGTTAGAGGTCTCACACTTTCTGACTTCAAAATTTACCACACAGCTACGATAATCAAAATAGTGCAGTCCTGGCCTCAAGACAAATATATAGACCGACGGAACAGAATAGAGAGCCCAGAAATAAACTCACACATATGGTCAAAAGGATTTTCTCCAAGGGAGGCAAAACCATTCAATGGGGAAAGGTCACTCATTTTTTTTTTAAACAAATGATGGCAAGAAAACTGGATATGCACATGCACAAAACAAAGCTGTACCCTTACGTTATACATACCATCTGAAAAACGTAACTCAAAGGAGATCATAAACCAGAATGTAAGAGCAACATTGTGAAACTCTCAGAAGATGACACAGGGGAGAAATGTCATGAAACTGGATTTGGCAATGATTTACCTAAAGCACGGGCACCAAAGGAGAAAACAAGATGCACTGGACTTACCAGTAAACACCCTCAGAGCGAGAGAAGATATTTACAAGTCATACATTTGATAAGATACTGATAGATACTGAAGAAAGAACTCCTACAACCACAAAAACACACAGACCAATTAAAAAGTGGGCAAAGAATTGGAATAAATATTTCTCCAAGGAAGATATATAAATGGCCAGTAAGGACATGAAAAAATACTCCACGTCATTAATTATTAAGTAATTCAAATCAAAACCACAGTGAGATACCACTTTACATCCATTAGGATGGCTTTTATGAAACAGACAGAAAACAGCAACTGTGGGCCAGGGTGTCAAGAAATTGGAATTCTGTGTATTGTTCATGAGAATGTAAAACAGTGTGTTGTAGAACACTTAACTTTTCCTCAAAATCTTAAACACAGAAAAGCCATGTGACCCAGCAATACCACTTCTGGGCATATATCCAACAGACGTGAAAATGGACTGAGACGGATATCTGTAACCCCCTGGAGGGGGGCGTGGCAACCCACTCCAGTGCTCCTGCCTAGAGAATCCCATGGACAGAGGAGCCGGGCGGGCCACTGCCCATGGTGTCGCACGGAGTCCGACACAACTAAGTACCCAAGCACAGCACCCAGAAGAAACTGTCCTGGATGAGGTGTGACCTTTCTGTGCCAAGAAGGACTCTGGGTCACATCCCTAGCACAGCCACCCCCAGGGCCCTCAGCCCCACCCCACCTCCGGCGCCCAGCCTAGGACGGCTTACCGAATCGTCTTGGCAAGCCCATCTTCCTTGCAAAAATCTAGACTAGGAATTTTCCTAGCTTCTTGCCTCTTTCATGACTGAGGCTGCCAGATTTAGTAAGTAAAAATACAAGACATCCAGTTATACTGCTTGAATTTACAACAAATAGTTTTTAAATAAGCAATGAATTTTTTAATGTAACTGTCCCAAGCAGTATTTAGGACATATGTATACTTAAGAAATGTATTCCTTGTTTATCTGAAGTTCACATGTAATGGGGGTATCCTGTGTGTTATTTGCCCACCCTACAAAGAACCAACAGTTCCTTTGATCTGTGTGCTGTAAATATCCCAAACCACTGACTCTCAGCCGCTTTTATCAATGAACTAATTTTTTAACTGTACTATTCTGTGTCGCAGTTCTTTTACAGAAGCAACTGAGTTTATTTGCATTCCTGCTTTTTCATTGCTTCCAATTATTAGATGCCACGTTAAGACAGTTTCTCCCCCAGCTTCATTTGAACACGTTTTTGAACGATAAACTTGCACCCTTTGGGGAGCCAGAGGATGGACTCAGGACGTCATCAGTGGAGACTCTGTAAGGAGAAGGCCACCTCCTCACAGGCGAGGGGCGGTCCCAGGGGCGTCTCTCCAGCACAACTGGACCCTGCGCTGCGAGTCCGGACCGACAGGCCCGGCGAGCCGCCACCCAGCGCCCGGCCCGCATCCCTGCGCCCGCCTACACACCGCCGGCCTCTGGAGCTTCCCCCGCAAGGCAGCGCGGCACCAGGCAGGCTTCCGCGGAGGAGGGCGGCGGCCACGGGAAGCGCCGTGAGCCCAGCCGGGCTGAGAGCCTGACCCGGCTGCGGCACCGGCGGGGGGCGCGGAGGGCAGGCCCAATCTGCTCTTTTACCTGGAGCGGCACCACCCTGAGCATCAGGTGGTCAAAATAAAGGTCCACTGCTTCCGTGAAGCCCTTGTAAGTTGTTCTCAGCCTCATATCAGGGTCTCGGAGTAACCAGCTTGAATGAAAAGGGGAGGGTGATTAGTTTCACCGTCTGGGGGTTTGCTCTGAGCAGGATGATGGCTGAAAAGGAGCAGCTTAAGGGAGCCCAGGGGTGATCCTGGAGGCCAGTCAGGACAGGGCAGACGCTGGCACGGGCCAGAACCTGCTTTCCCCCCGAGGACCCAGCACCGCGGGCCATTCTAGTTCTGAGTCAGGGCCAGCGGTCTGGCTGCCAGTCAGAGGGACCAAAGCTTTTCATTGAAGCCAAGGCCCATGTCTCAAGACTTGACACAACATCTTATCAGAGAGGGGCGAAGACAAAGGGGTCGGGGCTCCCTGAGACTGGAGGACAAGGCATCGCCTTCTGCTGTCAGCAGAAAAGGCAGCCTGGGGACCGAGAGAAGGAGTCTGGCCTCCCCTTTCTAATCCGGCTGGTCCCCATCCCCACGGGGTCCTCAGCATCCAGAGCTCGGCCTGGGGTGTGGGGGGAGGGGGAGGGGAGAGGGAGGGGGAGCTGGAGACAAAGAAGGTTAACGCCGTGCTGGCCTGCAGGGGGAGGGGTGGGGGAGGGGGAGAGGGTGTGGGGGAGTGGGGGAGGGGGGAGGGGAGAGGGAGGGGGAGCTGGAGACAAAGAAGGTTAACCCTGCCCTGGCTTGCCTGTGGTGTTCACCCAGCAGGTAAGCATGGAGCACCACTTTCAGAACTGCAGCCAAGGTGTTTTCCTTATACAGATTCTGAGGAACATTCATGTTTTCCTGCAAAAGGCCCCAGTGCTCCTCGCATCCTGGTCCAGAATAAGTATAGGCTGAGAAAGCCATGACTGCGTCAGGTCACTGGGTGACCGTTGGAGAGACAGCCCCCTGGGGCCAGACGCCTGAGTCCTTCACATGGAAAGCTCTTGTCTCTGGTCCCCACTGGGACTCGGTTTGCAGCACGCCCTGCTCCGCCTCCCGGGAATGCCCACCCAGGACCTGGGCCGAGGGTGCAGGGAGGCCTGAGGGCTTCAGAGCTCAGACTTAATCGAGGCGCTGCTGACACAGGGTTTCTGACCCGCAGGGAGGAGGCTGTGTGAGCCTCAAGGCCCCTCGCCGAGCTGAAGGCCAGCGACAGAGGGTCTGGGCAGTGGGGCAGGCCCTATCGCCCGAGGATGAGAGTGAGGCCTTCACAGAGCAGAAGGCATCACACAGGACCAGCCTGCCCGCCCCCGCAGACCAGGGGAGGGAGCTAGCAGCTAGAACCGGGAGCGTGGGACCCTGTCAACAGGAAACCCTTCTGCTGGAATACTACTAGTGGTACCAACACCTGGGACCAGGGCTGGCCCTGGCGCTAGGTAATCCTGCGCAACTCCTGAGCCGACCACAGGAAGGGTTCTGACTCCTGTGGAGACCCCATCCCAAGATAGCTCATCGGGGCCTGAGATCTGAAGGCAAAAGATAAAACTAAAACAGCGTGTTTCTCCTCTATCAAAATGCTCGCCCCTAAAAAAAAATGCTTTGTAGCACATCTAAGGAACAGGAGAGTGGGTTTGACTTCTCCCGTTTTTCAGAAAGCAAGGCCCGTCTGGAGCGGGCAGGACCGGACCGAGGCCGAGCCCTGCAGCAGGGCCCGGCGCCTGAGACCAGCCTCCCGGCCCTGCAGCGCGGAGCCACATGGGCTCTGACGGGGACAGTAACTGTGACGTCGCTGACGAGGCTGCCCTTTGGGGGCCACTTATTCTGAAAAAGAACCTCCGCACAGGGTGAAACGTACACGTAGGCAGCAACATCAGGCCCACGGGGCGCTCAGCGCTCACAGAGGCGCACAGGGCACCCCCAGCCACCGCCGAGGCACGGCCCCGCTCACCTGGGCAGGCCCCCGAGGTCCATCTCACTGCAGATGTAGGGGCCTGGACGCAGGATCACCCACAGCCCCACCTCCGCCGCCAGCAGGATGAAGGCCCTGGGGGTCAGGGTCACCGACTCTCAGGGCTCGGAGCCCAGCGCCCCCTCCCCTCGCCCACCCGGCCCTCCCTGGGGGGCTGGGGACGCTGAGGGCAGGACACCACCACCCCCCCCACCCCGGGTCACCCCCGAGCCCCCAGCCTGGGACATCAGTGCGGCCACTCTGGGGCACGAGGAGAAGAAAGAGCCTCGCCCGGGGCATGGAGTCCTGACTGAGGGCCTGACCTGGGGCCCCCAGCCCAGCTGGGACCACCCTGCAGAGCCGGGCACCTGGGGAGGGGCCTCAGGCTGGGCTGGGGCGGGGGTGGGGCAGGCCTGGCCCGGGGGTGGCGGGGTCACGACGGAGGGCGTGGGGCCCGGCACAGGTTCCCCCTGAGGTCCTCTCTGCCCAGGATGCCCCGTGGGTCCCCACCCCTCAGGCCCCCGCCCCGCCCGGCCGGGTCACAGAACCTACTCCAGGTCCAGGTTCCCGGAGAAGTCGAATGTGCCTCTCTGCGGCTCGTGGAGGTTCCACGGGACGTAGCTGTGGCAGGGAAGAGGGTGACAGGTGTGAGGCCTCCAGTGGTTCTCCACTCTGTCTCCCAGACCAGCATCTCTGTCCCTAAAACCCTCATGAGGCTGAAGACGGGTTTCTCACATGCAGGGCTGGAATGGAGAAAAACTGGAGAGACCGATGAGCTCACAGAAGCAGGGCAAGCCCCTCCCCGCCCCCTGCCGGGAGAAGGGCAGGGGGCCAAAAGATCTGGGGGCATCCCTCCCTCCCCCTTCTCCATCATCCTCTCTCTTCACCAGAGAAAGAAGTAACTTTATGGGCAAAGCAGTTAAAAGTGAGGCAGGCTAGGACCTGGAACCCTTGCTGCATTGCCTGCACCTGGACAAACACCTCCAACAACAAAATACAGAGAAGCTATGAGACTAAATACAACCGCATGCATGCAGGGCAAAGGACAGCCAAGACACAGAAAGACCCAGAACACAGCTGCCATTTCCGAGGTGCCGGGGACGAAAGCAGGGTCCATGCAGGACCCCTCCACGCAGCACCACCAAGTGGGGGGACCACCTAATCCCCACACCAGCCCCTCCAGACCCCCCCCCCACCCCTGGGAGGAGCCCCAGTTACTGCTCTTGCTTCCCTCGGGTACACCCTCTCCTGCCTCTGGCAGACCCTCGTCTGGCCTCTGGTCAGTGCCTGTTGATCAGAGTCCTAGAACCCTGGTCGGCAACAAAAGTAGGGTAAAAAGGAGCTCTGCATATCAGCACTGCTCTTAACGCAATACTCAGAATCCCAAACCCTGTCACAGGACTGAGGTTCTTACCCTAAAGAGATCAGGAAATCTAAGTTCCTTAAGTGGCTGCCTCTGAGTCCCGCATGCCCCTCTCCTGGACGCCACCCACACCAGCCTCTAGGGGAAGGTCTCCGATTGCAAAGGTGAACAGGTGGCTTCCTGCTTCCACTTCAGACTCAAGAGCTCATACAGACTCTCCTGATCTTATAAGGCAAAATGCTCAGCCCTTGTCAGGAGCCCTGTAACACAAGCATGTGCCCCCCAGGACCAGAAATAAATGGATCCCACTAGGTAACCTTCCTGGAAAATCACATACTTTGTTCAACTGATGCTGTCATGGCTCAGAACACCCCGTAACTGTTCTTAGAACTGTCTTCAAAATCGGTTCATAAACTACCAAGAAAACCCACCTCCTTGACTTGTAATCACACATTTTTGCAGTTTTAATAACCCAGCCTGATCACGCACTTGATTTCATAGACTTGGATCTAAACATCTGTTGGAAATGCTGAAAAAGACATCCACAAAATGATCAAGATTTTTTTCCCAACTGAGCCCATGTGGTAACTGGTTCCCCGATCAGCACAGAGGCGGGTGGCCACCACCGGCTGACCCTGCGCTTGTTCCAGGAGGGAAGCCGCAGCTTCTGAAGATGATTCCAGAAAGCGATATGGAGACAGGTGTGCTGGGAAAGTTCACACACACCTCGGCAAGGGGGGGGTGCTCCTCCCTTAGACCCACGCGGGGGCCGGGCTGCACCCCCTTACACCCATGGGGGGGCGGGCCAGGGGAGGGGCGCGGGGCGCGGGGCGGTGCTCACGTGGTCAGCGTGTTGAGGCCGCAGGCCCGCAGCTTCAGGAGCCGGTCCCTCCAGTAGGCCCGGGGCACCCGGAAGTAGTGGATGGAGCCCCCGAAGATCCAGAAGGCCGAGTTCTCCAGCTTGAAGTTCTGGCCATCGGCCCGCAGCCCTAGGTGCCGGCGCCACAACAACGAGGCGCCGAGGCCGCTCCAGTTCAGCCTGCGGGAGACAGGGCCTCAGAGCCGGCCCGCCGGGCGCGGGGGCTCGGGCAGCCGGGTCCCTGCCTCCGCCCCCAGCCCCCAGACGGCGCCCGACGCCGGACTCGAGGCCGCCACGCAGCACAGCGCGTCAGCGGCGCTCACACCCAGCCAGCGAGGAACAGACAAGCCGGCTTTCAACACGGGGCTGTGCTCAGAAGGGAGGTCGGGGTGCACGCGGGCAGGGGCCTCAGGGCGGAGAAGCTGCCTTTCGGTGCTGGGACCGAGAGGACTCGGGCGCGGACGTGGCTTCCTACAGCGGCCACAGGACACACACCAAAGCAGCAGCTACTCGACATGGTACCTCGGGGTCACCTCAAGGTCACAGCCCCCAGGCTGGCGGTGCAGATACCTGGAGAGAGGGACCAGTTAGGAACAGCGTCTGCTCAGGGACCCTGCGTCCAAGGTTCATGTTCCTGAGGACGGGGTGTGGCCGAGGGGCGTCTGGACAGGGAGCGCCCACCAGGGGGCTGCCAGGAAGGTGAGTCCACAGAATGTGCGCCCTGGAGTCGGAGGACTGGCTGGGCGGGGAGGGAGCCCTCACGCGACACACGACCCCCACCCCATCACCCTGCCAGCCCATCTCCCAGAGGAAGCAGTGAGACAAGCTGGACGCTGAGGAGAGCTGGAGACAGGAGGACAGGAGTGGTCACTGCTGCCTTGGCCCTGCTTTGAAAAGGCCCCTACACCTCTCTGGTGTTTCCATTTATCTTCAAACAGAAGCTAAACTCAAACAGGGGTTGAAAGAGGCTCGTAAGAACCAGCCCTGGCTGAGGCACAGTCTTGCCCGCCCAAGCCTCACCGGCCACGGGCGTGTGTGGAGGCCATCTCTGCCCCCGCCTCCACGCCATGGGCTCGGGTCTGACCGGCCACGGAACAGGCAGTGTGGACGGACTGCCCCAGCCTGTGCTCCTCAGCTGTGCAGACCCGGCTGGTCCCACACCTGGTCCTCGCTGAGACTGGGACAGAAACTGAGATGTCTCCCCCGCAATGACAGTAACTGCATGTCTGCTGAAGCGAGACATAAGAGGCAGCGACAGGGACAGCCACTGTGGAGAACAGTCTGGAGAGTCCTTCGAAATCTAAAAACAGAACTACCATATGATCTGGCAATCCCACTCCTGGGTGTATAGCTGTAGTACCATAATTCCTTACCAGCTGAGCCACAGGGAAGCCCAAGAACACTGTAGTGCGTAGCCTTTCCCTTTTCCAGGGCATCTTCCCAACCCAGGGATCGAACCGGGGTCTCCTGCACTGAGGCACATTCTTTACCAGCTGAGCTACCAGGGAAGCCCTATAATTCAGAAAGACACATGCACCCCAGCGTTCATTGCAGCACTATTTACAATAGCCAGGACATGGAAGCCACCTAGACATCCGTCGACAGATGAATGGATAAAGATGTGATACAAAGGAATATTACTCAGCCACAAAAAGAAAATAACGCCACTTGCAGCAACACAGATGGACCTAGAGAGTTCATACTGAGTAAAGCAAATCAAAGGCAAATATATGATATTGCTTATAATGTAGACCCTAAAAAGAGTGGTACAAATGAACTTACAAAATAGAACTAAAATCACGAATGTAAAAGAACAAACACTGGCAACCCACTCCAGTATTCTTGCCTGGAAAAATCCATGGACAGAGGAGCCTGGCGGGCTGAAGTCCATGGGATTACATGACTGAGCGTGTGTGCATGAGGGTGGAGGGAGATGGGTTGGTAGCAATAAAGTGGTAGAACTAAAAAATAAATAAATAACAGAACAAACACAAAGTTATGGTCACCAGTGGATGGGGGAGGAATACACTTGGAGACTGTGAAATGGTCATCTGTGGATAACTATAAACCTATCAGTGGCTTCCTTCTTCAAAAAGTTCCATGTTCCAAGTGACTTAAAATGAAATTTAAAAATACAGTTCTTCCAAATGACCACCTGCACAGCGATGTGGAAACAAAAGCAGTATCTTTGAGAGGAGAGTCTGGACGCGAGCCCTGGTCCTCCCCTTGGTACTGCCATCACTGAGGGCTGCAGACCCTGGCTCCCTGGCATGGCCGTGCCCCAGCAGCTGCGGCCATCACCTGTCCGAAGTGCTCACAAGGGCTGCATGAGGGTCGGACATCAGGGAAGTATGATGAAAGAGCCTGTGACAAGGCAGCCCTCACGAGCCACGAGGCATGCTGCCCACGAGACACACAGGGAAGGGCTTAACGAGGCTTGCTGTTAAAGATGTGTCTTACAAGCGACAAAAGCATCTTCTCACTGTTTGAAATTAATTCAACATGCTTTGCAAATAGAATAGCTTCAGTGGGTTTTTTGTGTCCCTGATATGAACAATCCCAATCTTTCCATTCTTTCCCATTTAATTCAGCTGCTGCTGCTAAGTCGCTTCAGTCGTGTCCAATTCTGTGCAACCCCATAGATGGCAGCCTACCAGGCTCCCCTGTCCCTGGGATTCTGCAGGCAAAAACACTGGAGTGGGTTGCCATTTCCTTCTCCAATGCAGGAAAGTGAAAAGTGAAAGTGAAGTCGCTTAGTTGTATCCAACTCTTAGCGACCCCGTGGACTACAGCCTACCAGACTCCTCCATCCATGGGATTTTCCAGGCAAGAGTACTGGAGTGGGGTGCCATTGCCTTCTCCGTTTAATTCAGCATTTCACTATATTTAACGTGCTGGTCATTGTGCCAAGCCATCTTATTTCAATTGTCAATTTCATGGTGAAAGCACTGTCCACTGGGCTGCTGTCCAAAGCCAACGGTCTGCAGACGCCAGACTCCACACCGCCCCCCCCAACCCCTCACCCTGTGCCTGCGTGCAGTCTGCCAGCTGAGAACAGTTTTCACATTTGTAAATGGTTGGAAAAAATCAAAAGAAGAATACTTAGGGACATAAAACAATTGTATTGAACTTGACATTTCAACATCCATAATTTTACTGATAACCTGCCACCCATCTACACAGTCTGTGCTGCTCGGGCTCAGTGACGTGACGGCAGACAGCAGGGTCCTCAAACCTGGACACACTCACCCCCTGGGCCTTGCAGGACCCTGCCCGCCCACCCTGGAGCGTGAGCCCTGGCATGGCACAGGAGGCCTGTGAGCTCCGTGGCCACCACCCGGCCGCCTCCTGCCCCCGCCTGGCTCCCGGGCCGCGCCTGGCTCTGCGCCAGCTCCTGCTCGTGGGAGGCCTCCAGCTCACCCACAGCTGAGCACAGTCTCCCTGCTCTCTGAGCACATCTTCCCCAAAGAGCACACTCTGCCTTCCTTCACGCATCGTGTTGCACTGGCTTCTGAGGCCTTCAGCCTCACCTAACCTCCCCGCGCTCACCCAGGCGAGGACGGGCAAAGCTACGGGCAGAGCTGCGTGCAGATTCTCTGCTTCACAACAGGCACACTGATCACTGACCGTCCAGCAGTGCGCGTGCACACACACACACACACACACACACGGGCACACACACAGACACACACGCACACTAATCACTGACTGTCCAGCGGTGAATGCACAAATACACATACAAACACACAGACACACACACCGCACTGAGCAATCATTCCACCAGGAAGCAGTCCCTGATCACTGGCCAGAACTTCAACAGAAAAGCTCCTGGGAGTTCCCCAAGTCACTGACATAACGTCTGTTCACAACCCCATTTCCCCAAAAGCTGTGACGGCCTCCCCCACCTGGCAGGTGCATGGGTGCAGGTGGGCTGGGAGATGGCTCTCTGTGACCCCTTGCCCCCGTGGATGACAAGTCATGGGGCACTGTGTCTCCAGGTGTGCCCTTCCCCTGCAGGTGCCACGCCTGGAGCTTGTCAGAAACGCAGACACGCAGGCCCCACTGGGACCTACTGAGTCCGAGTCTGCACTGCGGCCGCTCCCCGGGGTAGACCTGAGATCAGCAGCCTGCAGCTTGTCCTCTGAAACACGTCTGCAGAGCCTCCTCCAGGGTGGGGCTTCTCCTTACCCGTCTCTCTAGATCCTATGATTTTCTAGATTAAAAAAATCTTCCTCTCGGTGTTCATTAAGAGGGGTAAAATTAACACTGAAAACAGCAAAGCTGGAGCTGCTATCAGAGGCCAAACACTGGAGAACCAGCAGCTTTGAGGGCTTTCTGGTAGGTAAATAACAAGTCCTCAATACACTAAAAATAGGGATGGCTCCACCAGGAAAACCAAGGTGATAAACGCTGGGTTTCTCCAAGGAGGACTTTCTGGTAGGTAACTAACAAGTCCTCAATACACTAATAATAGGGATGGCTCCACCAGGAAAACCAGGGTGATAAACGCTGGGTTTCTCCAAGGAGGACTTTCTGGTAGGTAACTAACAAGTCCTCAATACACTAATAATAGGAATGGCTCCACCAGGAAAACCAGGGTGATAAACGCTGGGTTTCTCCAAGGAGGACTTTCTGGTAGGTAACTAACAAGTTCTCAATACACTAATAATAGGAATGGCTCCACCAGGAAAACCAGGGTGATAAACGCTGGGTTTCTCCAAGGAGGACTTTCTGGTAGGTAACTAACAAGTCCTCAATACACTAATAATAGGGATGGCTTCACCAGGAAAACCAGGATAGTAAATGCTGGGTTTCTCCAAGGAACACTGCGAGAGAATGAGGTGATACATGTCGGAGCCCCATAAACAAGAACGTAAACAGTTATTAATACCGACGATGATCATCAGTGCTGCTGCTCGTCACACTAATGACCACCTCCGGCTCCCCGAGCAGCTGACAAGCCACGGTTGAGAAAGGCACCAGCGCCTGTGGCGGGCTCAGGCAGGGGCCTCTCCTTCTGACAGAGGCCTGTGCGCTCGGAGCCCACCAACCCCAGGGAAGCCCTGCTTACTGCTGCTTTCCCGCGAGCAGTTCATTCCTGATGAAACTAAAAAGAAAACAAAAAACATTTATTTATTTGGCTGCCCTGGGGCTTAGCAGTGGCACATGGGATCTTCAGT